GCTGATCACTGACTATCAAGCAGGACACCATTAGTGCTGCTGCTCTTAGCTGATGTCAGAGCTGCGTACGGTGGAAGTTATGCTCTTGTTTTTGTCCTAGCCTGACAGTTCTGACTGACCAAGCGGCGACCCGAAGTGATCCCAATGATCATCTGCGCCTTAAAAGGTCCTGCGCAGCTCAGCATCTTGACTGTACACGATGCTTCTAGTGACGCATGAACTTGTGTTTTATTTACTTATTATTTAATGAAGGAAAATATGTCCTGGAAGTGATATTGACCATTATCGAAAATCGAAATGATGTGATTATATTGGATAAATGAGTAAACTATACGAAACTTAAGGTTACGTACGAATAAAATTTCGCTATTTTTAATCGCATATTATATAAAATAGCGAACGGACAAATAGCCAAAACTGACTACTTGGACTATTATGTAAGGCCCTATTTGCCTAACAGGTAGAGTGATTTTCGTTAGTTTCAACAACAATTTGTACCTGCCCAGGATGCAACCCCACAACAAGCTGACTAACTCCTGTGTATACCTACTTATTGTTAGGTGAACAGGACCATTAGGTGATAGGAAATGCGCCCAACCATTTCTGTCTCGCCCAGGATTCGAACCCGGATTTTTTTTTCTTTGTAAGTCGAGAACGAACTCTACTGTTCTACCGGGATCCTTAAATATATATAACAATCAGGGTTTTCGTGATCATTGTTGTATAAGTAACAAATCCATTTTCATCATTAAGAAATGATCCTCACGAAGAGAGACTCGAAGCATATCATTAGATTCCTCATAGAAACATACAGCCCCGCTCCTGTGCCAGGTAAGTTACGGGCTCACCATAGCCCGTGCTACTTGGAACTTTCGTTCCAAGTAGCTGAATCTAAAACAACAAACAACAACCTCGTAAAACTTTGCACATGAGCGACTGCCAAGAGCCCCTCCAAAAAACTGGGAATTCTCTTCAAGTCTACAAGAGATTTATTTAACCTCAGTTCAGCGCTGCAAGTCTCAACTTCCCTTCTCTGCAGAACCGCTCTCCCATTTGGACACGCTTCTCTACCAAAATTCTAGACACAGTTCAGAGGAACGGTGGAGCTTTGTAATTACTTGATTCGTGTTCTTGAGGATATCCTCATAATGCACCCGAAATTTGCCAGTGCAAGCTACTGAACATATGGCCCTGTATGACTAACCATCCTGCGAGATGGGGACTTTTAGTATCACTGCTATCTTATTCACTCTTGTGTTCGTGATATCCTCATAATGCACCCAGAGTTTGCCAGTGCAGACTACTTATCACATGCCTCTGTATGACTAACCATCCTGTGTGATGTGGATTTTTAGCATCACGTAGCTAGCTTTTTGACACACTGTACTTCCCTTCATAAAGTCTAGGGTAGCTGCACAAATGCACATGTACATAAATGTATTAAAAAACAGCTTGTCTCATCAGTTAATCTGATCTCACATCTAAGCTCATGTCATCAGGCTACTGTCGCGAAGATACATGTCTTTGCAGACCTAACAACAACGTAACTTGAAGAACAATAGTGTTTCTATTTTCTGTGAAAAAGTCCATCAAGCTGGCGTAACTCATCTTAGCAGGGAGAGGGGTGGGGGGGCAGAGGTCCCGCAACCTCCAGTATTTTATGTAATGTAATACCGACTGTCCGGGGCTTAATCTCAGTCTGATCTTAATCCCCCATCTTCAACACCCCCTTTCCCCCTCACACGCTGGTGAAGAAACACAGAGGGTGTGTGAAGAAAAAAAGTGGTAGAATTGTCAAAATATCGAGATTGCTTCTAATTGTAGCCAAGACGACAGTCCGTGTCCACGACAGCATGGAAATACTGTAGTCTGTGACCATAAGAAGAGCATGGAAATAGTCCGTGTCCACAAGAGCATTGAGAAATAGTCCGTTACCACAAGACCGTGTCCACAAGAGCATTGAGAAATAGTTCGTTTCCACAAGAGCATTGAGAAATAATCCGTTATGACAAGAGCATTGAGAAATAGTCCGTTACCACAAGAGCATTGAGAAATAATCCGTTACGACAAGAGCATTGAGAAATAGTCCGTTACCACAAGAGCATTGAGAAATAGTCCGTTACCACAAGAGCATTGAGAAACAGTTCGTGTCCACAAGAGCATGATAATAAACAAAGTAGAAAGCAGAAGTTGCATACAAGATCGACTTGGAAAGGCATTTATTAATGTCACCACAGAATGTTACCACATAAAATGATGGATAAATGAATATCAGATAAAGAACAGAGGCGGAAACTCGATTTTCTAATTATCAGATCGCAGGGAGAGGTATAATCTTAAATCCTAGTTTCAGCACTGCAGAAAGCTCTTGTTGGGGCATTACCCCCACACCGCTACTCTTTCTGATCCTCATGTCTGACATCAGGATGACATCATGTCATCTTTTGTGGACGATACCAAAATCCGCTCATAAAAATTCCTTCGATGAAGGAATAAACTACAGTCACTCATGTATTTTTTGTCTAATGAACATCTGAAAATAGCATTATGTATTAAAGTCACGAATTCCAAGTACTTCAACGTGGAAAATATAAGTGAAATATTTATGAGTAAAAATGTCAAATGGCATAAAGTTTAGAGCACAAAAAGAAGCAAGCCTAGCATCAGCAAGGAAAATTACAGACTGGATTATAAGAACATAACAAGGGTTGCCACGTCAATGATGGTAGTCTTTAAAACTCTGTTGCTCTCTCGTCTACTGCCTCTCGTTTCGTGTGAGGGCGAGATATGAGCTAGAAAATATACATAAATTCTTACTGCTTGCATATATACAGTGAAACTACTGGGGGTGTCTAGGAAGTTCTCAGAATGTCCTCCCTGGCACAGAGACGAGGGATCTATCTCATGATTTCTGCATTAGGTCCCAATCACTTATTAAAGTGAAGGATACTGCAGGAGACGTAAAATAAGCACAGTGATTATAATATCAGGAACACGATTAGAAAACGTGTGACTATTGGAGGCCCACGACTTGTCAACTTTCTAGCACAAAATATAAACAATATTGACAGAGCAAAGGTACAAGACTTCATGTAAGAACTAGACAGGTTCCTGCAGGGCGTGTCTGCTGAACCGATTTATGATGGTTATGCGGGTCTGCAGGCCGTGACCATGACCATGGTCACGGGCATGCTGCAGCTGCAGGAACAGCTTCACTGAGGATCCTGTTCAGTGAAGCTGTTCAATGCTCTCTACTGGAGAATGCCTTGTAACAAACTAGTATACTGTCCCATACACACTTGTAAAATGTTTTATATAGGCATATCTAAATACAAGCTTCAGCATCTGTTGTTCTACTGTCTCTTCAGGAACTTGACCGTCTACTATAGCCTTCTCTTTTTCAATAAAATAAAATTACAACAACCACCAGTGTCACAACACCCCCAATTATCATGACAGCACAAGTAGCCTCGCCACAACACCAGCGATAATCATCACGTCACAAAACACTCAGGGCGTAATATCTATGATCTAGTTATAACCCCAGCATTAATAACAGTTGTTATCTGCCTCAACAAGGGTCATGAGCAACAAGGGTCATAAGCGACAAGGGCAAGCGTCTTATCCACCATGTATCAGGATTTCAGCCGACTGTAACTTCTCCTTCTGCGTTACAGGGAAATAACTAATGTGTTGTTGTTAGTTGCTCTTTGTAGCCCGACTAAATGGCCACTTTACATTCCTCAACTATTTTACATATCACTGAAACTATTTGGATAGGAGTCAACAACCTCTTCAATGGACGCAATTGCAAGTGGCGTAAAATTAAAAAGACACTATGGTTCATATTGCTGTATGAAAATTAATATGACAAGAAGCAGTCATGTGGATGTTTTGCCCAGTTCATTTATATGTAGTAATACTGCTAATTATAAGCGTTGTAATTAATGTGCAGCAGTTCAGGAGGAAATTAAAACGATGTTGAGTCTAGCAAATTAGCATAGAGCCATATAATTGTCATTCTTATGAAACAAATGCAGTAATAAATTAATGGTGCTACTCACCCACTGGGCCAACACTAGAGTATCAAATGAACAAAACACCATTATACATGGTGGTGATACACCCGCGCAAAGCACCAATAACATTCCAAAGGTTTATGATGAAAAAAAAACAACTGTGACGAAGCACAGAGGCCAACTTGAAGTTAGGTCAAAGGTCAACGCACGATCAGTTATAGGAGCCTAGCCATATAAACCCAAGCCGCCTTACGACTTTTGTTTTCGAATTTGTTCTGCTGCTTTGACATTTGATGGCGGCGCACGAGTCGAGCTTGCCAGATGGACGAGATATTGTGATTATATTACATAACTCACATATATAATGATTTGACTGTTGCCATTAATGGCGTTCAGTTTACTGTACGACCCATAATCATCATGCGAGCTTTAGTGAGGAAGGACAAAATAGGACATAATACAAATAGGACAAAACGTATTTGGCTTATGGATGTCAATCCACAATTTTTTCTTGATCATCAAGCGATCAATCCACATATAGCTTAAATACATAAGAATTGCAATTTCCAAAGTTTCAAGGATCAAGACATATTTTCCATCTTATTAATAGCTACTATTTCATTCATTTATTTATTTATTATGCACCCTATACCCATCCCGTAGGCGGTGGTAGAAAGGGTTACAGAGGCACATAATAGGTTCAGCCCATAGTTCATTTAGCCATGCAAGGGACAGTCTTGTGAAGCTAGTTACACAATTGTTAATATTATATATACATATATATATATATATATATATATATATATATATATATATATATATATATATATATATATATATATATATATAATGTATATATATATACATGTATATAGCTATTAGCTCTTGGACTTCCCCATTCCCCCCACCTTTCTAGCCGATCAATTCTTTTCCTCTAATATGTCTACTACATATTTTCTAACACATTTTCTCTTGTGCCAGGTGCCTGACCAGAAGATCGAGCTGGTGTTCCTGGTAGACGCGTCGGCGTCGGTGGGGGCGGAGAATTTCTTCAACGAGATCAAATTTGTCAAGAAACTGCTGGCCGACTTCGCAGTCTCCTACAACCAGACGCGCGTCGCTGTCATCACCTTCTCCAGCAAGAATAAGGTGAGTTGAAGATGCAGGTAGTGGGGTTCAGCAGTCCACTTACGATGTAAATATTTTGAACTTTGTCTTCAGTGTAAATAGCAGTGGTTCAGCAAATGATGATGAGTTCAGTTCAAGTGATCATATCGACATTATAATATACTGTGATCTTTATATATATTAATTGTGAAAACTTTCCAATTAACTGGAACAATATCATTGAAGAGCTGTACATATTTCGGGTGATTAAGTGGTACATTCTTGCAAAGCCACTAACACGTATTTAGTTTTAGTACACACGAAGGCCAGAGTCCAGAAAGTGCAAACTCGCCAGGAAAATACATTAGTCAGGTCTGGCAGATGGGATATAGCAACCCTGATGCAAAGGTCACAAAGGACCCTCTGAGGATGAGATGATTGCAAATCATCTTCACTGCCAACGAACATAACAAAGCAATATCGGTAATGATTATCTGGTAGAAGATGGCAAGGGATAAGTTGTAAGGATACAGGTAGAATGAAAGGGAATGTGGGAGGGAGGGTCGAAGCCCCCTTCCACCATGTGGAAGAGGTACGCTGTAAAGCTGGATAAGGGGTGCAGCCAGTATGTGGGAGAGATATACAGTTGAAAATGGTAGGTGCTGCCAGTATGTGGGAGAGATATACAGTTGAAAATGGTAGGTGCTGCCAGTATGTGGGAGAGATATGCAGTTGAAAATGGTAGGTGCTGCCAGTATGTGGGAGAGATATGCAGTTGAAAATGGCAGGTGCTGCCAGTATGTGGGAGAGATATGCAGTTGAAAATGGCAGGTGCTGCCAGTATGTGGGAGAGATATACAGTTGAAAATGGCAGGTGCTGCCAGTATGTGGGAGAGATATGCAGTTGAAAATGGCAGGTGCTGCCAGTATGTGGGAGAGATATGCAGTTGAAAATGGCAGGTGCTGCCAGTATGTGGGAGAGATATGCAGTTGAAAATGGCAGGTGCTGCCAGTATGTGGGAGAGATATGCAGTTGAAAATGGCAGGTGCTGCCAGTATGTGGGAGAGATATGCAGTTGAAAATGGCAGGTGCTGCCAGTATGTGGGAGAGATATACAGTTGAACAATGGTAGGGGGTGCCGCCAGTATATTGATCATATTAAGCAAGACGTACACAAAGGAAAACCAATAAGTGCTTAAAAATAATGGCAATAGGCTACTGAGAACCAAGCCCCGAGAGAGTACGGTAATGGTTATCTCTGAAACCTTCATACCTGTCAGTCTGGGACATCGGTGTATCAAGTCCCATTATAAAATTGATAGTGCTGATGGGTTGGATTACGTGGGGAGCTTCACATCGTCCCACAGTCCTCTGTCTGCCACTTAAGCTACTGACAGCTGTATCACCCTCAACTTTCTAAGACTACTAGCACCTGCACCTTTGAGAGCATTGTTCATTGTTGTTTACCAAAAATATGATTGATTGATTGATCGATGAAGATTAAACCACCTATGAAGTGGCACGGGGATGAATAGTCCGTAAAAAATATGATCGTACTACCAAGCGTCTAAGTCTGAATGAAAAGACACATCAAACACTTTATGTAGCATACATAAATCTGTGTATCTATGTATTTACGTATGTAGCTTAGCCTAGCATTTTAAAAGCACTACAATCACCTTCTGTGGTTGATTGTTCAATAAATCCCTGAACTATATGTTTGACAAATCTCTCACCCTGTCCATGGAGGACAGAAGAAAATGTATATATGCTGGTTAGCATTGTAAATGTCCGGCCACGTCTGTGGTAGAAAATAATAATAATAATCAAAAGCCTGAATGATACGGTTTGGTTCCCCATAGTTAGCTGCAGGCAGCCGTTGCCTGTATTACTCTTATCAAGGTCCCTCTAGGTTATATATGGACCTTCCCAGGATGTAACCCACAACAATTGCTTAACTCTCCGGTTCCTATTTACTGCTAGGTGAACGTAAGTATGAGGTGAAAAAAACGTGCTCAAACGATTCCATCCCGACGGTGGAATTGAACCATGAACCATTCGACTGTGACCCAAATTTTTTCTTGGCGATTTCTTCAAGCTGAATTTTAAAGCTCAGCAGAGTTTTGGCATTTACAGCTTCGGCGGGTAGGCAGTTCCATGGGTTTATAACCATGTGGGTGAAAAATCATTTCCTGTTTTCAGTCCTACACCTTGGCTTGTTGAGCTTGAAACCGTTGTTTCTTATTTGCGTTTCATCTGACCTTTTGACTCCTGGTTCAATCTTGACGCCGAGCGAGAGGAGCGGAAGTCTGGATACCTCCTCCACCTGGAAGCCGCCGGTTCACGTCCTGTTTTCGCGTTTTGGCTTTGCTACTGCCGTTTGGCATCCCTCTTCAACGGTTCGGTTGTACGACGCCTGGCGCACATATTGCCTTGGGTCACGGGATTGTTGATAGATTTTTTTTTGGCTTGTTCTGGCTGGTTCTCCCGGCGGGGTGACGGTGTTCGGGGGCCGGCTTGGCCGAGAGGTGCCGGGGGTTGGTGGGTCTTGGTGGGCTCCTGGTGTGCCCTCAGCCGTGGTGGGCTCTTGGTGTGCCCTCAGCCGTGGTGGGCGGCCGGCTTATGCTCTGCCGGGGATGACTTTTTGCGTTTTAGTTGGGGGGCAGAGTTTTGGTTTTGCTACCTGGTGTTCTCTGTGTGGAGCGAGGCCGGTGCTTGTCACCCTGTCCTCAGGTCAGGCTCCTTAAATAAAGCGATTTAACATTATTATATATTCCCTGATATCCTCAAAAAAGCAAGAGTAACGCCAGTCCATAAAGGAGGCAATCCGGCGGACATAAACAATTATAGACCAATATCAAATCTACCCATTCTATCAAAAATATTTGAAAAAATTATTTACAAACAGCTCTATTCCTACCTCGTAAAATTCGACATACTCAGCCCCTGCCAGTTTGGCTTCCGGTCCCAAAAGAGCACCAACGATGCAATCATTACAACGATGCAATCATTAGTCTCCTTGACATTATCTACTCAGCCCTTGACAAAAATGAGTTTCCGATTGGACTCTTCATTGACCTAAGAAAAGCCTTTGATACTGTTAATCACAACTACCTCTTACTTAAACTCCAGCATTATGGAATCCGAGGCCTTGCCCTTGACTACATCCGATCCTATCTTAGTGACAGACACCAATATGTAACCATCAATGATACAACTTCTTCCACTCTACCAATTACCGTTGGAGTGCCACAGGGCAGCATCTTAGGACCTCTTCTATTTCTTATATATATAAACGATCTGCCTAATGTCTCTAATATTCTCAAACCTATATTGTTTGCTGACGATACTACCTTATCTACTCAAACCTCAACCCACATACACTAAATAATGTTGTGAATAATGAATTAAAAAAAGTCCACTTATGGATGTCAACGAACAAACTAACATTAAACATCGAAAAGACTTACTACATCTTATTTGGAAGCAAATCATCAAATGCAATTCAGCTACAGATAGACAACATTAACATCAGTAATAAAAATGATGGCAAGTTTCTTGGCCTATTCCTAGACAAGAGACTCAACTTCAGCACCCACATTCAACACATAACTAAGAAAGTCTCTAAGACAGTTGGTATACTCTCCAAAATCAGATATTATGTTCCTAACTCTGCTCTCCTCTCACTATATTATGCACTAATCTACCCCTATCTTAATTATGGTATCTGTGCATGGGGGTCTACCACTGCAAACCACCTTAAGCCCATCATCACACAGCAAAAATCTGCTATCAGAATAATAACTAACTCTGCTTTCAGACAACACTCAGCTCCCTTGTTTAAATCCCTAAACTTGCTAAATATTAACTCCCTCCACACATTCTCTTGTGTCAACTACATTTACAAAACCCTGTTCTTAAATGCAAACCATGCTCTGAAACTCTCCCTGGACAGATGTAATAGGACCCATTATCACCACACCAGAAATAAATATCTCTTTGATATCCCCAGGGTCAAACTTAATCTGTGTAAACACTCTATGCAAATTAAGGGACCTAGTCTATGGAACTCACTCCCTAGTGAATTGAAAAACTGTAAAACTTTTGCCTTATTTAAAAGCAAAACCAAAAAGTACCTAACTTCATCTTCTTAGTTTCCTACACTGAGCTTTAAATTTGCTCTGTACCTAGTGTTACCCAATCTCCTAATTTTTATGTAATATCAAACAACCTTATCATTGTGTTCATTGCTGTCTTCTTTTATGTGCTAGCCATATGCTGTATTGTGACTACCAATTTTTGTCAACTACCATTCAAGCTGTCATTGCAATCAATCTTATATTGTTTCTGCTGTATTGTGCCTACCAATTTGTTGTCAACTACCATTTTAAGCGGTCATTGCAATCAATCTTAGCTACCTATGTGCTTTAATATACTGTACCTACAATTTTCTCTCATCTTTTTTTTCATTTCATGTAATCTGTTATCATTTTTTTGTCTATAAATTTTGCAAGTATTTACCTCCTTAAAATTTTCTTAGATTAAGGACCTGCCCGAAACGCTGCGCGTGCTAGTGGCTTTACAAGACTGTAATTACCATATTTGTATCCTCACATTCCTTATGTACATTCTTGTGTATGCATAAATAAATAAATAAATAAATAAATATTAAAGCTCAATGTATAGTTAGGCGTAGGTAAGGTTAGGTTTCCAGCTTCTGTTGGTGAATATTTGTATTTGACGTATTGGGTGAAGTATGTGCCGAGTTGCGATTCGAACGGAGGTCGTCAGCAAAGCACTGTTCGAACGTCATCAGTTATAATAATACTAATAATTTTTATTTAAAAAGTACAAACATACATACATAGGATATACAAAGATTATATAAATCATGAGTCAGTTATGAGTTGTACAACCCGTCCCCTACCAACAAACTCCAAATGCTCGCCACAAACCACTTGTTCATGAGTGAAAAAACATTTTACACAAGACTCACAACTGATGACAGTTTTCTCGAGCAGTGCTTCCTTTACGCTCTCTGTTCAGATCGCACGTCTATAAATTCTTCCTGATCAATTCTTCTTTCCCGTACTGCAAATACCAACAATTGATAACAGAACCTAACCACCTAAGTTGCCTAAATATTCAGTGCATTCTAGTATGTAATAATATTACCTTATATTTGAGAAATTGACTATTCGTTCATAAATAGGGGGTTGGACGGCTGGATTATAATAAATCATTATTAATGAACATTTGCCCATTGCTTACGACGAAGAGCTGCAATTATTGTTCACATTGTTGTGTTGAAAGTTCTCAAAGTGTTCAATATATCTCTGAACAGGTCATTCGACACATCGACCACGTGACACAGGCATCTGAGGATAACCACAAGTGTTCACTGATGGAGGGGGAGCTTCCCAGGATAAAATACTCGGGAGGTGGCACTTATACTCTAGGTGCCTTGCTCGAGGCTCAGGTGAGTACAAAGTGCCATATATTTCAATCTCGAGTAAGTGCCACCTGTTATGCTTGATCAAGACGTCCCAGGTTCGGGTGCTAGACTAAGTACAGGATATATATCAGGTTAAGATGGGTTTTTATCATGTTCTAGATTAGACCAGACTAGATGATAAATACATGGTCATGCTGCAGGCCAGACCAGGCTAATGACCATGAAGCATGCTCCAGCCCAGGCTAATAACCATGAAGTATGCTCCAGACCAGGCTAATGACCATGAAGCATGCTCCAGCCCAGGCTAATAACCATGAAGTATGCTCCAGACCAGGCTAATGACCATGAAGCATGCTCCAGACCAGGCTAATGACCATGAAGCATGCTCCAGCCCAGGCTAATAACCATGAAGTGTGCTCCAGTCCAGGCTAATGGCCATGAAGCATTCTCCAGCCCAGGCTAATAACCATGAAGTATGCTCCAGTCCAGGCTAATGGCCATGAAGCATGCTCCAGCCCAGGCTAATAACCATGAAGTATGCTCCAGACCAGGCTAATGACCATGAAGCATGCTCCAGCCCAGGCTAATAACCATGAAGTATGCTCCAGACCAGGCTAATGACCATGAAGCATGCTTCATACCAGGCTAATGACCATGAAGCATGCTCCAGACCAGACAAGTCTTATTGCTTGTAATGTGTTCTACGCTAGACAAGGCTACTAATTGCCATGTATGTTTGAAATTAGGCTAAGTTACTCGCCATGTATTATGGCAGGTTCAGGCAGTAATAAATTAAAATTATTTTTTTTATTCAGGAAAAGTACATACATAGTTGATTTACAAACATAATGTTGGAATAATAGATAGATCTAGTACTGTACATACAATACCTAAAGCCACTAATACGCATAGCATTTTGGGCAATGTGTGAGGAAAAACCCCCACTTAGACCAAAACTTAATTGGGATTAGGTATAAATTGTGTTGAAAAAAGGAATAAAAAATAAAAAGGGGGGAGGGGGAACATGGCAGAAATCAGCAATTATAAAAGTTGGTGAACAAACAGTATTGTTTAAAAATAGAAAGACATGGGTTGACATTTAGGGGGTAAGGTAGGTTACATGGAGTTAATTAGGTAGTACTTGGTTTTACTCTTAAACTGGTTGAGAGAGGTACAGTCTTTCAACCAGTTTAAGAGTAAAACCAAGTGCTGTACTACCTAATTAACTCCATGTAACCTACCTTACCCCTTAAATGTCAACCCATGTCTTGCTATTTTTGAACAATGCTGTTTGTTTACCACTTGAATATTGTAACACAGCTTCTCCCTGCAACAGAGCGTGATAGCCCTCGGAAGACCTGAGGCGGTGAAGGCGGTATTCCTAGTGACGGATGGCTACAGCAACGGCGGCGACCCCAGACCAGCCGCCGCCTTCCTTCAGGCCAGGGGTGTTCGGATCTTTACTTTCGGTATACGCAATGGAAATGTTAAGGTCAGTGAACAACTAGGTGGGGAGGCCCTCTTGTGTTGTGAGTGGGCAAATTTCCTTGGCTAGGATCCTATTTAAAATAATAAAATAATGGTAATCCACAGCCACCATCATGTAACATAATAATTTACCTGAGGACCACTAACACTAGTGGCCTCGACGAGGACAGGAACTGGCTTGTCGAAGGTTCCCAACCCCCCACCCATTTGCCTTGATTTTTTCCATGTGGATTTTAAAATTTAAGAGTTTTGGCATTTATGGCTGTGGTGGGTAGATAGTTCCATGGGTTTATAACCTTGTGGATGAAAAAGCATCTCCTGTTCTCAGTCCTATAATGTAGCTTGTTGAGCTTAAAACTGTTGCTCCTTGTTTGTGTTACATCTGACCTTTTGAAGAAATTGAAATCATTATTGACCTTTTTGAAGAAATAACAAGCAGGTGCAAGGATGACAAACCCCATTTCTCCAACCCATACACATACCAGTTAATTGGTAGTTATTAGAGGTGGAGCTAAAGAGCTGAAACTCAACCTCCACAAGCATAAAATTTGGACTTTATGGTTTAGATCCAATACATATTCTTGAATACAGGTAATTTTTATTTCAAGATAGCTCTAATCCACACATAATTATAATAATAGTAATTTATTTACACAAATGTGTATAAAGGATACATGAACAGAGGAAGATACATGGGTAAGACAAATACAGTGCATAAAGCCAATAAAATGCAATGGAAAGTCATTTCTTTCAAACCCACAAACCCACCAGCCTCCTCCTAGTCTGTCACCAGAACCTCCCTTACCATTGGAATGTCATTCTAGCCAACTTATACAACACGATAAATTCATCAATTATTAACACCAACATGCACAATTAGCCATGGTAATGTATATACGGAAGAGACCATCAAAGGAAATGCAAACTACTGTGTTATGTATAAATACTGTACTATAATATGAATCAAAATAATCTGTTGTAATTTTATTGTGTTAAGTTGGGTTAAATGTAGTTAATTTTGTATACACATTTTAAGGCTTGTACATTACTGTATATATATTCTTGAAAATCCTCAGTGTTAAACAAAATTCTAGTGATAATATATATGTGAATTCAAGTTCAATCCAAATCCTTATTTTTAGGTACATCAGTTGTCTCTAAGTGTATACTGTACTTTACTTTTCTATTTTACCTTTTTACTGAACGGGGTGAGAATAGCTTGAGCTACCTCATCCCTTTGTGTGTATTTTACCTCAATAAACTTATTTCAATTTCAGTTTTACCTTACATGATCCCACAGGAATTGTATGACATGGCATCAGAGCCAAAGGAGGAGCATTCTTACATTTTGGACTCTTTTGAGGAGTTTGAAGCTCTAGCCAGGAGAGCTCTGCATGAAGGTAGGATTTCCTTGATGCTTGTCATGTACTCTGGTGTAAAGCACATGGTACAACTAATAAGCTTTTTTGTTGTGATACTAACTAGTGTGAGAAAATTGAACAATATCTCTAAACCTGGTACAATAGGTGACAGCACAAAAGATAATTGATCCTACTTATAAAATCTTTAATGGAATTTTTTGTGGAATATTTAAACATAATAAAAGGTTCTCGGCTTATTGTAAGATAACCTAAGGTGCTCTACACACAGATCTGCATAGTGGAGTTTTGATGGAACAGGATCCTCGCTCCTGCCTTAAGCTATGCACTGGGGGTGACTACTGCTGCGACCCCTATGCGACCTGCACCTGTGGCACCCATACAGGCCACTTTGCCTGTACCTGCCGTAAAGGCTACTATGGCACAGGCCTTCAGGGCGACTGTAGACGTATGTTGTGTTAACCGATTCATAATAACCTTGATATTTTCCTTCGTGTAACATATGCATTCTTAAATGAAACTGCTGCACTGGACAGTGCTGTATATTTACTTGTCTTGTATAATATTCAAAATACACAATACAGTATTTAACAATGGTGTTCATTCATTTGTCATGTTAAACTCTTAACACATTACCATATGGCAGGCTCAAAAACAGATATAATGTAAATCCTCCATTTGCAAATATTGAGTTCAAAATGCATATCTATTGTACTGCAATAATATCTATTAACTTTGAATCATTTCATTGTTTTATTGGTACTATCTTTTGCCAGGGGTGGGATGCATATGCATTTCCAATCATATATTAATTAGTATATTAATGAATATATTACAAGATGTTAACATGCTTTCAGACAATAATTAGGATATACAGTAAATTAATTTTAATCGGAGAATACGAGCAGTTATCATCCTGTATTTTAAGACTAGCTTGAATTATAGGATAAAAACCCACACTTATTTATTTGTGACATTTATGTAAGGAATTTACACAAAGTCTTTCTCACTCTCCTGAGTGTTTTGTCAAGGTCTGAGTGTGTGATTAGGACGAGACTTACATCTCAACATCTAATGAGGCTGCTATTCTGGGTCCAGTCCTCTTATCCTTCTTAACTGCCTGACCATGTCACCTCTATTTCTGACTACTGATGTACCTGCAGTAATGTCTTCTACGGAATTATGGTCATGTGTTTTTTCTGTAATTCTGTTATTCTGAGAACTGGAGTTGTTATTAATAGAGGTGTTCATCTGGATGCTATCCCTCATAACCCTCTCTATACCTGAAGGAACGTTGCTAATGGGACTGCTTTCATTCATTCATTTATTGAGATATAATTTTAATTCACTCAGAATCATTTTCTTAGTAATGCTATCCTCCAAAGTAAAGCTCTTGTTGCCAGCAAAAGTATTCAGAGTACTGTATTTATTAGAACCCCATCCACTACCCTTATAGTTTTAATATTATTACTTTTATAGAATATTTCACATTTCTTAGAATCGACATTGTGATTCTTTTCCCAACTATGGTTTGCTACAACACTGTTACCAGCCATACCGGCTTGATACCTGCTTGATGAGGTTCTGGGAGTTCTTCTACTCCCCAAGCCTTGCCCGAGGCCAGGCTTGACTTGTGAGAGCTTGGTCTAACAGGCTGTTGCTTGGAGCGGTCCACAGGCCCACCTATCCACCACAGCCTGGTTGGTCCAACACTTTTTGAAGAAAATTATCATAATTCTACATGCTTTCATATGTTCTTCAATTCAGATCTCAAATTTTTGCCCTGTTTCCCCCACAAACTTCATTGCAATCTATACATGGTAATACATAAATGCTTCCCGGATATAAATGAATTATTAATTACAAATAAGACAAATTATTAATTCATTATAAGTTAAGATGTAAGTCTCATCATAATCACACACTCAGACCTTGATAAAGCACTCAGGTGAGTGGGAATGGCTTGGTGAAAATTCCTTGCATAAATTTCACAAATATACGAGTGTGGGATTTTATCCTTTGTTATTATGTTTGAGAGAAGACATTACCATTACTAACTAGCTTGAATAATATCTTATTGGCTTAAACTTATGTATAAATGTAGTACAAAAGTAGAACATGCAGTACTCCCATGTACAGTACAGTATTTATTTTTTTGGGGGGGTTGGGGCAGCATGTCCAGCAGGAACATATAAAGATATGCAGGGGCCAGGAGATGTGTCATCATGTACTCCGTGTCCTGACTCCCATATGATGAGCGTCCCAGCTTCCACATCACCTCAACAGTGCTACTGTAAGAGAGGATACGCCCAGGTCGGCATGCAGTGCTCTAGTGAGTCCAATTATGAACTGTTTTGGTAGAATTTTAGTTTTTCATTTATGGTACAGGTTGTATTATGAACATTTAGAGTGCAGTATTCTAATGTGTAGTGGAACACCAGTGGAACAGAATTTAGTTTTGCTGTATGTAGCAGATATCTTCATTCTGATGGAAAGCTTTGTTGCATTGGGAATTTTTTCTTCTAAGTTTAGCTTAAATGAGCTCAGTTCATTGTAAACTGGAATGCAGTGACAACAAATTTAATATAAAATAAAGAAATATTATTTTATATCTTACAAGATTACATCTTCCTAGTGATAATGGTATCAGAACATATGGAGAAAGTATATTCTAACATTTGCACTAATAGAAATATTACATGTGTGGCCACAAAATAAGTTGTTTTAAATCATATCAACAACAAAATAGCTAATTTTAAATGCGAAATAGTTTTGTAGCAGAGAGGGGCCCAGAATAAATTGTTCTCTTCAAGTAGAGTTTCACTATACAGTATTCTATAATGTACTAGTATATTAATTTTAAGACTTGTTTAACATAGGTTGCATATTAATGGCATGACCACACAACCAAATGTGAGACTATATACATGTTGGGACCACATATGGTGGGATTGTATATGAGTTGTGCCTATGATTTGGCAAGTTGTTTGTAATTATTTAAATGTAGTTACAGGATGAGAGCTATGCTTGTGGTGTCCCATCTTCCCAGTACTCTTTGTCATATGACACTTTGAAACTACTGATGGTTTTGGCATCCATCACCTTCTCACTTGTTCCAACTGTGCTGGCAAAAGTGGTAAACTTTCTAATTTATTTGGCAGCTTTATTTCTTTAATTTGAATCTATGACATCATTTTCTTGAGGTTGCAGTTTTCAAGATTTCTTGTATGGTCATTGTCAAAGGGTCCCTGTAGTCCAGTTGGGTTCGTTCTCGACTCACATTCGAGAATCCCTTCGGGTGGGACAGAAATGGCTGGGTGCATTTCCTATCGCCAAATGGGCCTGTTCACCTAGTAGTAAATAGGTACTCAGGAGTTAGCTTGTTGTGGGATTGCATTCTGGGCAGTCAGTAATTCGACCTTTTTGGGGGGGGGGGGACCTCGATATAAGCTTAAAGTGTATGAATATACTCAGGCTTCCTGTCCCCTGACAATGAATTATTAAATTATAAACATAACCGACTCATAAAGATGGTCAGAAGACATAGTTGGGATCATGTGGTGGAATACTACATTGTAGTGTCATCTGAATGTGCACAGATATATATACAGTATTCCCAATTTGTTCTTATTCCCTAAGAGAAATAATTTTTAATCCTTATATAAATTGGTCATAAATACTTGAGGACAACTTGTACCCTTTTCATCACAATACAACTCTCATGATAAGTTTAGGCTAAATCTAAGTAATAGGAGGTGAGGGAATGCTGCAATTTTAATAATATAAACATATGAAAACAAAACAGAATTGCATACCACAATATTTGTCCAATAACGTGATCATATCGGTGGATATTTGTGGTCATGTCACTATTATGCATCCTTAGTTGTTATTGCATTACAAAATACAGTAAATGAATCAAAAGAATGCAAATGCAGGGAGTATTTTCACACAGTGTCTGCTTGGGCCCTCCCTCGACAGTGTTGCAGTGCCCAGTGCTGGTGCCACCAGAGAATGGCTACTTCGTGCGCAATACCTGCAACAACGTGGTAAATGCAGCGTGTGGTGTCCGCTGCAATCCAGGCTTTACTCTCAAAGGTTCCTCCATTAGACTGTGTGGCGAGGATGGTGTGTGGAGTGGCGGGGACACGCAGTGTGTCAGTCAGTATTCCATAAGTGGTTTATATGTTTATTTAGCACAACTAATAACTACTATACCTTTCTCATTTCAGTTATTAATAAAACATCTTTAGAAACTAAACGAAAATCACCTTTAGGCTACACATTGAAGCCTCACTAAACAACCTCACTGAAGCACTTGTAAACTTAATCTGGGATTCTGATTCACTGAAGTCCAGAACAGTATTTAAATATACATTATATTGATTATGTTAGTTGTTTATATACAGTAATAAAAAAATTGTAAATTCATGAAAACATGTTGTCCACCATACTGAATTTTGTTGTAAGGATTTTTAATTGTATAAATGAAAAGTGTGTGCATTTTCCTTGCTAGAAATGTATTATCAGGTACTGAATATAAATAAAAAAAAATTTGAATTATTTTTATAATATTTTGACTCTCATTGGTAACATACCAAAAGTTTAGTTCTGTACTTTACCACCATGAAAGAGTTCAGTTCAGAACCACTCCACTAGTGGAATATTAATGTAAATGTATGAAGTCTCGTATATATTTCTACCTTCAAGGTTTACTAACGTGGAGTTTTAAATTTCACAGACAAGCTATCCAAGACATGTAACTACAGTATACATTCAAACAAGCATACAAACAAACATTCATTCACATAATTCAAACAAGTATGCCCATTATACCTGATTTTAAATGAATATTATCAAAAACCTCATCTATTAAGATATGACTTGCTTTTAACATTTTATTTTGTTCTTATATGCCCCTCTTTATTTTATTTTAACAAATCACCAGAATCCAAGTTTATATTTACTTGTCGTAGTTCCAAATTGGAATGATAGATTTTTCTTTATTAATGTCTAGTACATTTTCCTAATACAGTATTGTGCATAAAGCTTCTCTTGTTTAGTCATATACAGTGGCCAGGCAAGTTTCCCTTCCAGCTGCTAATATATGTCCATATTATGATGACAGTGAAGTCCTGCCCCAAACTGAAGCCAACAGAACATGGGACGATGGTGTGCTCCCAGCCACGCCCTACCATGGACACAGAGTGCCACTTTGCCTGTGATCCTGGCTACCAGCTTGTTGGCTCCAAGATGAGAACCTGTCTCCCTGTCGCTATGTGGGATGGTATTTCAGCGTACTGCAAGCGTGAGTTATCACAGAGATGTTATCTGAAGGAGATAATCTTTTTAGGTATGGCAAGCTTAACCCAAGTCGTGTATAAGATTGTTGGTAGGAAAATTAATGCCATGGGAGGATTTATTGCTAACCTAGCCCTCATACTAATACAGCATATGATTAATACAATACATCCCTAGATTATACAGTATTATGACCCACTTTTACTGTCTACAATATATACATTATTTATATTGTGTTAATATTATATCACTCACCCTCCTTTGATTCTTTTGTAGTGTATCTACAATAGATAATTTTTACTGTGATAAATATTAGTTCACGTAATCATACATCCATCTCTCAGTAAGTTAATCTCTCATATGTAGCTATATCCCACACTGACATGTGTCAGCCTGACCTACCCTCCTGACATCATCATCTATGGTCCGACTGACCACATCTTCCCCTGGTCCCACTGATCAAATCTATTTTGGCTACAGCTATCTTCTGCCCACCACTACCTCCTCTACGTCATGGTCAGATGCATCCTAGAACATGTGCCAAATCCAAGTCCAAATATGGCACCAAGTGTGAATTTGCCTGTGACCCCGGCTACCAGCTCAATGGCTCCATTAAGACCACCTGTGTTGACCCTGGGGTCTGGTCTGGTGGTCACAAGACTGCCAGGTGTATAGGTAAGTGTTAGCAGGTGCTTGTGTTTAGGTCCAGTGTTAGTTACCTGGAGCATACCTGGAGAGGGTTCTGGGAGTTCTTCTACTCCCCGAGCCGGGCATGAGGCCAGGCTCAACTTGTGATAACTTGGTTTAACAGGCTGTTGCTTGGAGCAGTCCACAGGTTCTTAAAGTGGCCTGCAGGCTGCTCCAAGCTGATAGTCAGCACTGCTATGTAGGAGGAAACAGAGGAACAGGTGCTGTTAAGCGGAGTGCATGAACAGATGTTGGTGCGTTGAGTGTTAACAGTGCATGAGTGTGGAAAGAGCTGATGTGTGGTTATGTAAAGGGGTGGTGTGAGACAGTGTGACATGCTTGGTTCAGAAAAAATAGACATGGGGCTGCTTATTATGTATTATTATTATTATTATTATTATTACTGTATTATTATTATTATTATTATTATTATTATTATTATTATTATTATTATTAGTATTAGTATTAGTATTGACTTTGTGCTTGATTGATTCTGTAGATTTCGTAAACTAGAAAATGTAACTTGCTAGTTTTATAATACCATTGTTTACATCTTGATTATATTACAGCTTTCATGTTCTTTCATATATGTTTCTGCTTAATAAATCATGTATCGTACCATTTACACGCTCTTTATCTCCAGATGTGACACCACCGGTATTGAAGTGCCCCAAGAACATGACCACGAAGACAGACCCACATGAGGGCTTTGCCATGGTCACGTGGGATGCTCCCTTTGTCAAAGGTCAATATGGATATTTCATAAAGTAGGCTACTTGGAAATTGTCTAGCTTCTCCTGCATGTCAGTTTATGCTTGCTGTCTTCATTCATTATTACAGTGAATCCCCATTCCCTGTCTTTAACCATAACCTCCACCTTCTCCCCACTATCAGTTAGTATCCCTACTTATTTTTTATGTATGCACAAAATGTCCTTGCAGACAACTCTAAAGGCGAGGTGCGACTGGCAACGATCCCTGCCACAACACAGCCTATGAAGCTTAGCATTGGCAACCATACTATCACATACATTGCTAAGGACAAGCTGGGTAACAAGGCCTCCTGCCAATTCTCCATCACCATTGTAGGTAAGGCCTGTCATAATATATATACAATACCTTTCAAGATTAGACCTATTCGTCTGCAATGTAATGTAGGTAATTATGCTAGTTAAAAAAAATTTATGTAGTGTAAATTTTCTAGATGTAGAGCAAGTGCTGTTCAAAAGTGTAAGGTTCCACATTCAAAAAACATAAGAACCTAAGTCCTTTTTGTTAATTTGTGATCCTCTGTTCAGGAGTGATTGAATTCTGCCCTGAGCTTGGTCTTGGATGCTTCCCATTTGTCAACACTTGACCTTTTCCAGAATACTGTACAACTCACGACAGTTAACTAACGCCATTGTATTTATTTACTGTTAGATGACTAGGCATCAGAAGAAAGTAAATATACCCAAACATCTCCATATTGCCATGGGAATTGAAGTGGTGACCTTTTGGTTTTGAACTGACTGAACCGACCACTGTGCTACTTTTTCAATACTAAGGGGAAAAAGAAATAAGTGTGATAATCAATTTAAAGCAGTAGAGTTGTACAATGTGAATTATGTAAATAAGTCAAAGATTCAAAACATGAACTTGTGTAATATTGTCTTCCCTAGATGAGGAGCCCCCTCGTGTGGACTGGTGTGACTCCCCGCCCATCTTCCTTTCACATGAGGAAGACGTTGATGTCTACTGGGAGGAACCTATTTTCTCTGATAATTCTGGCAAGGAAGTCCAGGTCAGCAAAACCAAAACTTCATCTAATGTTTATTTCAATTAAAGTGCTGTACCTACTGCTTTTTGATAGGTTTATAATGTGATATGTATATATGTGGCTGTGGCCTGGTACAAATATTTTTAATTTTACCAGAAGACAAATACTTAATACATATACTGTACCTGTACTGTACACAGTACTGTATTTTAGTGTCTGCTCATTTATGTTTTCCAGTTTGCAAACTCTGTCCACCTGACTATGTTTACAAATATTAACACATTGACATTCATGCAAAAGACAGGCATGGAGTAATACAGAAAGTGATTTACTTGGCTAATCTTTCTGCTTCTTCCACAAGTTAGTTTTGCTGTGTCCATTGGATAGAAACATGCCCATTCAGATAAGATGACATTGTTCACCATCACCATAAGGATCCATTTAAGCTATTCTCAGGGTCATTAAAGAGGTTATGGAATCATGGGAGAAATCCTTGAAGATTGTAATGGCTACTAGCAGCTCATTCATAAAAACTGAAGCCTTTCAAAACCCTCCTTGGCATCACAAGTCACTGTCAAGAGTGTTGTAAACCAACAATTGTCCTCCCACCAGGAATATCAGACAATACCTCATGCATCCCACCTAACACATCTTGCATACATCCTGATACCAAAAGTCCATCTTTGATTATTGGAGAAGGGCAGAAAGGTAGAGGCCTGAACAGAAGACTGATCAGCTCAGAAATTTGCTTTTCATCTAATTCTGTGGCTCCCTGAAGAAAGAGGTTAACCCAGAAGGATAGAAGAAGAAAAATCTTGAGGATACAGAACCATTCTTTAGATTAGTGCTCCAAAAGCCACACGAGTTGTAAATCTTCTTGCAAGACATTGTAGAAAAGTAGGTCTTGAAGTTAGAGAAATTCCATAAATCATGGAAGTGGTGACATTTGTTGTTTTTCAAAAAATTAAAAAAAAAATTTCTACAAAACAGTCGATGCTTTGCAACATCACAGCAGTCACCCCTTTATATCCCAGCATCATTAGCATCTTTAAAAAAAAAAAAAAATTATTTGCATCATCGGAGGCGTCCGAGAATGTGCGAGAAGCAGCGCGACCCCACCATGTGGTGTTGTCATTATTCAAATGAGTGCTCCCCATACAAGACGAATTGTCGGCGATCTGGGCGCTCGTTACCCAAAATGCTCGCCAATTGAGGCGATCGTCACTCGAGGTTCTACTGTACATATACTGGTTGTTTACACTATGCCCAACCCCTGGAATATAGTACTGTACTTGATAAATCTTTCTGAATATCATTTAAAAGAATTTTAATCATATATTATGCTTAAAAGTTTACCAACAATTGTTATTAGAAATGTAAATGTCTCGATAAAGATTCCCACTTTCAGAGAGAAATTGTACATAAATAAGTAGCAGCATATTCTTGTTACAGTACAAGTACAGTATATGGAGTTTTGAATTATCATTCAAGCTGTGACGAGCTTGATTTATCAAGCATGAATCAAGCTTGATTTATCAAGCATGAATCAAGCTTGAATTATCAAGCATGAATCAAGCTTGAATTATCAAGCATGAATCAAGCTTGAATTATCAAGCATGAATCAAGCTTGAATTATCAAGCATGAATCAAGCTTGAATTATCAAGCATGAATCAAGCTTGAATTATCAAGCATGAATCAAGCTTGAATTATCAAGCATGAATCAAGCTTGAATTATCAAGCATGAATCAAGCTTGAATTATCAAGCATGAATCAAGCTTGAATTATCAAGCATGAATCAAGCTTGAATTATCAAGCATGAATCAAGCTTGAATTATCAAGCATGAATCAAGCTTGAATTATCAAGCATGAATCAAGCTTGAATTATCAAGCATGAATCAAGCTTGAATTATCAAGCATGAATCAAGCTTGAATTATCAAGCATGAATCAAGCTTGAATTATCAAGCATGAATCAAGCTTGATTTATCAAGCATGAATCAAGCTTGAATTATCAAGCATGAATCAAGCTTGAATTATCAAGCATGAATCAAGCTTGAATTATCAAGCATGAATCAAGCTTGAATTATCAAGCATGAATCAAGCTTGAATTATCATGTAAGCTGTGTCCAGCTCAGTGAATGAATCCATCACTATGTTCATAAATAAGTCCAGTAAGTGGTGGTGAAGATCATTGCCTGTGATGATCCAACGTTGTTGGGCTTCATTGGGAAAGCTCTTTATTACCATTTGGCATTAAATTAAGCAAATGACATTAATGATATTGAATGGGGAGACAGACATTTATTGTTGCTACAGCATTTCCTTATAGGTTTACACCAGAAATTTGCTAAAATATTACCTAGATAAATATTAAACAAAACAATAGTATAAAAACCTGAAAAACACTCGACTGTACAGCGGAGTACAGCGGACTGTACTTACGACTGAAGTAAGCGGAGAGGTTATGTTTGTCCAGATGTGATCTAGAGTCGTGGCAGTGCTATCAGTGATTCTAGTAGGTCTAGTGATTAAGGGTATGAGGAAGCAGGAATTCATACTGTATTGTGCCTACCAATTTTTGTCAACTACCATTCACGCTGTCATTGCAATTAATCTGAGTTACCTATGTGCTTTAATATACCTACAATTTTCTCTAATCTTTTTTTTTCTTACCTTGTAACTGTTATCATTTTTTTATAAATTTTGCAAGTATTTACCTACTTAAAATTTTCTTAGATTAAGGACCTGCCCGAAACGCTGCGCGTACTAGTGGCTTTACAAGATTGTAATTACCATATTATGTATCCTCACAATCCCAATGTACCTTCTTGTATATGCATAAATAAATAAATAAATAAATACAGTTGAGCGATGAGAATCCCACAACTAAAATTTGGTCTATGCTGCAGGTGACACGGTCACAGGAGCCGGGGCAGTTCCCACAGGGCGACACCATGGTGGAGTACTGGGCAGTGGATGAGGCTGGCAACGTTGCTTCGTGCAACATCACCATCACTGTCCAAAGTAAGAATGATGTAATGATCATCCTTGTTTATTTGCAAAACTGATTCACTGGAGGAAGTTACAATCACCATAAAAAATAATGTGTCAAGGAGTAATATACTTTTGTAATACATGTTATGTAAGAGTACAGTGCAGTACCATATATATATATGTCTATATATAGATCAGTACTGTAGTGAGATTATATAGTTAGTACTTTGGCTAATACATACTTAAAAGAAATAAACTTTGTTTTAGAGGAAACATCTATAGATACATTATTATTTATAAGATACTAGCAATATTAACATGATTTTGTTTTAACAATTTTAGTTATTTAATGTACATGTATTTCACCAGGTCATACATTCAGAGTACAATACATGTTTGTGATTTTTTTATATTGTAATATTAAGCTGACCATTTGTTTATTTGTTTCTCATTCTGTATTTCCTTTTTTCCCCATTCCTCTTCTCCTTTACTCTCTCCCCTCTGTTGACCCTAATAGAACATGCGTGTCAGCTGCCTGTGGACCCCATCAATGGGGCTGCCAACTGCACCGAAAATCCTGAAGCTGTGTTTTGCACACTAACCTGTGATGATGGCTATGCTTTTGCCATGCGCCCACGGCAAGATTATTTCTGTGCTTATGATGGTGTGTGGCTCCCTGATGACAACCCCTTGCCCTTCCCAGACTGCTCTGGTGAGTCTTCACACTTGTCCAAAAGATATGTATTACTCGCAGAACTCTCTTTAAAGTTGTGTTAAGAATATTTAATAACCACTGTACACACACATTCAACATCAGACCACTTGTCTCAAATAGCACTGTTTATCTTATGTTAATAGTGTCAAATTAAAATAATGAGCTGTATTGGGATTATATCATTGTGACAAACAGTTATGTAACTTGATAATAGTGATTAAATTCTGTACAGCATCTTGGTCATTCTTAATGTTAAAACAATAAAGCTCATTATAGTATTTATACCTGTAACCATAATTGAAATCCCGTCGTTTTACACCCAGTACAAGTGGTTTGTATATGTTTTCAACTTTTCACACTTGGTTTTAATTTTAAATAAAATAGAGTACATGTACTGTATATATAATTATGCTATATTATATATATGATGCACTCTAACAGTATGGTGGGGTTAATTTCAGTGACTTCAGTTTCGAATAGTATCTCACAGGCGGGAGAAATGGCCATGGAGGATGATGGCTCTGTGTGTGATGATATCTTCTTCATGGGTCAGGTGAGACCACCTTCTGGGTGTTGTTCACATTAGGAAAACCCCAAGCCATATGAATACTAAGTTCATTAAAGAAGTTCACATTTTAGCTATAGCACTTGAGTGGGTTTTAGTGGTGTTTGAGGCTAGTCTTATTGTATAAGAGAGCTACAAAACATGAGGTTATATCTGACCGAAAGATATGTCACTAAAAGAGGGCCATCTGCTTTTGCCATAGATAGCAACAGGCAAATATTTTCAGGGGTACTTAGCATAACCTACTAAGCAATATACAGTATAAACAGTACACAATAGGAAAAGTTGTAAGTCTGAATAGCCACAATTTAAGTGTGTTGCAACAAAATTTAATTTTATGCATGATTAGTGTTGGTCATAAAAAACTAAATTGGAAAGAAGAAAATTTGACGACATTTTATCCATTCTGCCAGGTGCAAAATGAGCTGGAAAAGAAGCTAGAAGATGCTCTGAAAACAATGTGTGACGAGGATGTTGTGTGCGAGGTGGCTGCTGTGGAGGCTGTGTGCGAGAACATTCTTGCTGAAGCAGAAGAAGAATTCAACTCAATTGATTTTTATAGGAAGAAGAGGTCCACAGAGAAAGATCTTTTAACATATTTCTGGTCAGGAGACAATTATGACACTGATGATAGTGACTGGTTGTACTGGAAGCGAGGGGATGGAGTAACAATGAGTAGAGTGAAGAGAGTCAAAAGGGAAACCTCGCTACTGCAAGAATTTGGAGATTTTGAAGACACGCAACGACACAAGAGACAGTTTGGATTCTCCCTTGATCATTTATTTGGTAATAAAGCAGGAACTGAGGTACCCAGTCATTCTAAAAATTCAGAGGAAAACTATCTTGGCGTGTTGATTGATTTAATCACACGATCAATGGCATCGGATATTGGCTTAGTGCATTTTGGGTCATTCCTCTCTAGCCTGAAGTCTGATAATGGGGACTTCACCACTGGGGATTTTCTGTCGGCTTTTTCTCGAGAATTTGGAGAGGATAAAGCGGAGGCTCTTCGTGAGTTGGCAGTAAAAAAATTAAGTGGAATGAAGATCTCGGGTATCTCAAATAGTGATCGTGCTAATAACCAAAGTGAGAGAAACCACAGCCCAAACCAACGCTCTGTCTTTACACACACCTCCTCTGGTGAAGAACACACCTGGGTCCACAACTCAAGCTACCCAGGACAGACTGAGGCTATACTGGCTGGTGTAGGGAAGTCCTCTGCAGCGAAGTCAGGGAGCTATGATGTAGGCTCAACCTCCTATGACTATGATGCCTCTAGCACCTCAGAAGTTGGACAAGGCTTCACCAAAAAAGCTTTTAAAGTGCGATTTAGAGTAGAAGGTAAGAGCGTCATCTGAGAAAAATGAATTGCAGTATAGTACAGTATATACAGTAAAGAAAGGCTTGCAATATTAATACATGATTTCTGCAACAATTTGTCATTTACACTACAAATCATTCACAGTAGAACCCCTATCACTTCATCAGACTAGGTCTATAGTGCTCCTTATTAATTGTCATATAAAAATTAATTATTTGCTACTTCTTTATAAATTGCTGCCACATGTTTTTTTTAATATATCTTATATGCTGTTCACACTCATAATATCTGCTCATCTTCTTGCTCTTTATCTTCTCCAACACTCAAAATCACTTTAATACACTCTTTTCACTGGCATATCATTATCCATTCATTTAACATGACCAGACCATCTTTATACATTCTTAAATTTTGTTAATAATAACTTTATCACTCCATATCAATTCATGACATTTTATTTCCCTACTCCAAAGACCATACTTTCTTTTCAAGTTATCCAGTTCTACTGCCCTAATTCTTAATGTTTCACATGCATGTCACACCAGCATCTTGCAGTCACAAACAAAGGTTTACCTGATTTTTACCTGATTTACCTGATGGCCACTAACCCTAGTGGCCTCGATGAGGATAGGAAGGCGGCAGCTTGACGAAAGTCCCCCATTTGTCTTGATGATCTTTTCTATGTATATTTTAGTGGTACTATAGGGGCTCTACTGAATAAGAGGCTGCCAAGTTTGTCCATGTGTTAATCTGACACTGCTTAATTTGCTGATTATGCAATGACCTTTTAAATAATTTATATTCAGTTTTTTGTTCTGTTTAATATCATGCAAATTATGTACTGTATTACATGGTTATACCACATTCGTACAAATTCCCCACGCTTATCTTTTGTTTCTCACTTATAATCCATTATGTTGAATGCTTGATTTTTTCATTATCACTTAAATTTACCTAAGGGCCACTATCTCTAGTGGTCTCAACAGGGACAGGAAGCTGGCAGCTTGTGAAAGGTCCCCCACTATTTTTCACTACTATTCTTTCCCTTGTAGCATCTTCCATCTCTCACAACTCGGTTTTATCCATTTCCATGACTATATCTCCATTTTTCATCCATTGCATGTTACAGGTCATGGAGTAGGGGCAACAGACAAGCTGGGAGAAGCCATGGATGGCCTGCTGGAAGCAGCAGATGCGGGGCAATTGGACATCGATTTTGGAGAACGCCAGTTACGTGTGGCTACCATAAGACTCAAGGAGCACCCAGAGTTCATCTGTGAGGCTGGCAGTGTGCCCAGAGATGGACAGTGTGGTGAGATATCCTCATATATTTTTGTTTTAGTTTGCATGCATCATGTCTGACTTACTTATCATATCCGTGTTACTGTACAGTACTTGGCAATATGTAATTTATATTTTTATGTTGGTCTATTTAGATAATTGCATGCCATTTTATTTTGATGTGCAGTATTTGGGACATTACAGGCCTTGGTATTATGAAGTAAAGTATTGTTGTCAGATGGAAGTAGGTAGATGTCAAAACCTTCAGGAGATACATAGCCAAATACACAATTACACATACAGAGAGAGACTGAAGCTGTTTGACTGACTGACTGTGACTGCCTCACTGACTGAGAATGCCTACCTGCCTGTGCCTACTCTACAACAACAAAGGCAAGGGAATAGGTGAAGAGTTAAACATAAGAATTGTATAAAGATGATTCTTGCTATCTGAGCCATTAGAACAAGGAAAACGACAGAACAACTCCGCCACTAACACTTATTGTACCAGTGTTTACTCATGAAATTATCTTGCTCTATTCAAAATTATGAAGTAAAAAGGGTTAGTGCTTTATGCATGGGATCACAGTACTATTATTGTACAGTACTGTATTTCTTTTGATAATTATGTAGTTATGGCCACATGAACATTTTGATTTATTTACATTAATAAATAGACTTGGGAGGTTGTATTGTATGTGTGGGTGTTTGTAAAGTGGATTGTTTCTATAATGGGAACTCCACTAGACAAAGATTATAGCGAAGACAGGACTCCTCAAGCATATCTCTCATCCTGTATTTATATTTAGGCAGATATGCTTTGGCAGTTAAAGATATGGATTGTTGGGTGTGTAGTGTGTAGTGAATTTTTACAAATTCCTCCAAATCTCTAAAATTCTTTAATGTACACTGTCATATAATGCAAAATATATTCATTCTATGGAATGTAATTTTATCACTAGTTAAAAGTATGATATACAGTACAATAATGATAAAATCCAACACTACTTTCAACAAAGACAAACCATAGTGTCCCAACAACACAGCTGTGTTTGCTTCCCAGTTTTTATTACATAATTGTTTCAACATGCATTTCCTTTATCAGTCAAATGCCCTGTGGGAACGTTCTTCAATGTGGTGTTTCGAGAGTGTCTACCATGTCCCCAGGGATCCTTCCAGCCTCAGGAGGGGCAGGTGTCCTGCCTCGTCTGCCCCGAGAATACCTCTACCAAGAGCGGCAATGCCAAGAGTGATCAGGACTGTAAAGGTTTGTCTTGTTTACATCTTGTGCTTATGTTTGCTCTCTCAAATGTTTTTATTCTATTGAAGTGCACAATAAGATATATAAATGTACAATATTTATTGAATAAGAGTAAAGTTACATTAAATATAAAATATGCTGTATGTACAGTACTGGTGTGTATCAATGCTCTCCCAAATTTGGCTATGGTACCCATATTGTAATTAAATTAACATGGATATGCATGATAGTTCACTACTGATAAGTATTTCCTTTTCATGCCTAAGGATAAAACTGCTTTAAATATACTGGAATAATGTACTAGACATTTTATAACCACCGCTAGTCAAGAAAAGTAGCCCCCCCCTGGCTCTTATGCAAAGCTTATTGCAAAATAAAATTCTGCTGTATTATGAAATATTTATCAAAATGCAAATCCTCCCCGTTTTGTGATACAAAAGAATATTATAAAATATTCTCAAAGATAAAAATGCCTTGCTTCTCTTCTCACTATACGTACAGAATATTGTACTGATCATGCAGACAGTGGGAATAATGTGGGTGTGTGGGGTGGGTGCAGGAATTCGTGGGTGCTGATGAGTGGGTGGTGCTTACCATGTTTACGAGAAGCAAGAACTAGCTTTATGTTCCTTTTTTTTTTTTTCTTTATGTCCCTGCTGTAGCTAATAAAACTGGTACAGTACATTTATACCATCTACATTCTAGTAATTACCTCAGTAATTACCTGTTATACTATAGTAATGCTCTGTTATACTTGCTCCTGATACTATAAAAGTTTAAATTGTACTTAGTAAGTTAAATTAACTTGAACCAAAGTAAAGCAGCATAAGGTCAGGTTAATTAGCTTATGTTTGATTAGGAAATGCTCACTATCTTATAATGCACATATACACACCATTCCACTCCAGCTCAATGTCTACCTGGGTCATTCTCTGAGGACGGGCTGGAGCCATGTTCCACCTGTGAGATAGGACACTACCAAGATGAGTACGCCTCCTATACATGTGCCAACTGCCCCCACGATACCACCACATGGCGACGTGGCAGCTGGCTCTTACAAGAATGCAAGCGTAAGTAATGAATTTCACCCTTCTGCAACCAAATAGGAGACTTTTAGCAAGTGGAATGTAATTGTCAGTCAGTGCAAGAGAGCTGACAAGTGATCATTCAGGCTTGCAAACTTGCAAACAGTTTGTAGGCTGTTATTGGTTTATTCCCAAAGCAGATGTATGTTTGCTTCCCAATAAATCTAGCCTACTCAAATGGGTCAGTACTTCATTTAGGATAGGTTATCCTTGTTTTCTGTTGGAGACAAGTCATGATTACCATGGGTCATTAGTCCCCTCATTATTCTGTAGATCCTTATAATAAAATACAGGTACAGGTATCACCATCGTCCCTCAGAGAAGGAAGGGGCTTTATAGGGATTATGAATTGGGTCTCCCTGTCACTGAATGAAAGGGCGATCCCACATTTTTTATATTATAGTGTATTTTTCACCATTGCCCGTTATATCCTTCATTAATAACTTACTTTCCCTTGTACAGCCTTGTGTGGTGTGGGAAAGGTGTCAGAGACTGGGCTAGAACCTTGTTTCAACTGCCCCCAGGGATACTTCCAGGAGCAACCAGGCCAGACGCAGTGCTTCAGGTACTGCATCAACAACAATATCATTCATTTAATGCTGAATCTATCACTAATTCACTGTTGAATCAACATTGATTATTTGATTTGGCATTGAATTGGCACTGCTCTTAGGTAGTGTGCCACTGGGAAGTTACTCATGTGACCTTTTCCAGAGGATCACAGTAACATTGTTAGTAATTTATAGTTTTCTTGGTAGTTATGAAAGAGAGAGAGAAAGAAAGGGAGAGAGAGAGATAGATAGATATGTGAAGGAATGATTGGAACTGTTATTGAGCATCGTAATTACCATCCACTCCTAGTCCTCATGCTTGTGATACATTCCCACAGGTGCCCAGGGGGAGGAAACACTCCTGCAACCGGTACTACTTCCATGTATGATTGCGACGGAGTATCCAAGGATGACCAGGTACAGTATATGCACCACCTCTTGCCTTAACATGTCCAACATTCTGTTCAAATGCTTATATGATCTCTTGTCTGTCTGGCCCCACCTGTCTCTGCTCTTAGAAATGATTTGATCAGATATAACATTCATCATCAGCCAGGAGGAAAATAGCTGATTCATTCATCATTCTCAATCGACTTGAGAATGGTCCAGGACGGACCGAAACGTCGTCGTCCCTTCAATTTCTAGTGTGTGGTCTGGTCAACATACTTCAGCCACGTTATTGTGACTCATCGCCTGCAGGAGGAAAATGGGTTGGAAGGTTATACAGTATATATTAAAAAGTAGACACTCGTTTATTTATTGTAGACACATCAGCACCCTACAATGCTCCTCATCACATGTCGTGTATACTACTAATACATTCATGCCCTCTTTACAAACTGCCTCCAATCAGCATTTTTCTTTACCATACACCCTTTCCCACACTTATTTTAGTTAGTATCCAACTATGTAGGAATGTCTCTCTTCATTTGTTGCCACAGAGTGGTCTTGGTAAAAGCAGAGCTGGTGTGCAGACTAGCTTTGTGTTCAGGTTTGAGGCAGGTTTGTGTTCTTTAAATTATAGCAACCTAAGTTGGGCCAGATGCCAAAAGTGTGTGTTTGCCAGCTAGCCTGCATGCTTCTTAACAGGATGTAATTGATCTATCCACCCTCTCCATCATCTCATTTCTTTCTTATTCAGAGTTGCATGATGAAACAGACACTGGCTGACTGGCCCAAGAATTTCTTCCCTCAAGATTATCTTTAAGAGCTTGTAAATGGGTGGGGCTAGGCCAGTTGGTCTAAAGTTTTCTGCTGTACAAATTGCACTTGCTCGACACTTGATACACACAACTAAATCACACTCACTAGACACACATGATACAAAGCAAACTACTGTAGATAACTTTTGCTGGACCTTTGATACACACTAGTCTACATAACTTTTCAGTCTACCTATTGAGCAAAGTTTAACTGCAACTTACTAATTGTTTGTTGTAATGTGCCAATAACTGTTTGGTGTTTTTTGCAGGCTGCATACACCACCTTACAGAAACTCGCCATTAACGACTGTTTCAGCATCCCCTGCCAGAACCTGGGCACCTGCACCCCTATGGACTTTGGTTATGTTTGTCAGTGCCCTCCTGGCTATTCTGGTGAGTTGACTTTCTCTGGTGCTCTCACTAGTTCCAGCAAGTTTAGCAAAACCCATTTGACTATAGCCACATATGCAAGTCTAATCAGCCATATTCCCTGTGGTTCTTTGACTTGTATAGCCATGCAACTCACTATAATTTTGTTAAATAAACTTGTATACCTGATTTCTTCAGTGGTAATAAAGACTTCTATATAAAGACTTCTCAATTTAATGTTTTTCCCTTTCGTATCTAATCATCTTGGATGTTAAATAACGATAATAAATAATATTGTATTTTTGTATATCTATAAAAAAATAATACAGAGGGTTTGATTAGAAAGCCACTAAACTTGCACTGATTTCATGTACAGGTCAGCAGTGTGAATCCGAGATGAACGAGTGTGAGAGTGAGCCTTGCCACAATAACGCCACCTGCGTGGACCTGCTCAATAATTTCCACTGTGAGTGTCCACCAGGGTTCACAGGCTCCCACTGTGAGATTGACATCAATGAGTGTGACCCAAATCCCTGCATGAATAGCGCCACCTGTGTTGACTTGGTTGATGCTTTCAAGTGCATCTGTCAGTCAGGGTTTACAGGTTAGTGTATAGCTAAAAAAATTGTAAGTGTCTTACTAAAACTTAGTCTGAAAAAGATAGGTAATGATTAAAAGGGAAAGGCATTGGTGAATAAAATCAAGAACATTTTTAGTGTTGAAAAATTATGATTGAAGTAACAAATCAAATCAAATCAAATGTTTATTCATGTAAAAGTACGTACATACAAGGTGAGTTACAAACACAATGTTGGATTTATAGATAGAACTAGTACATACAATGCCTAAAGCTAGTACATATGCAACAGTGTTTTGGGCAAGGTGTGGGAAAAAAACTTAGACTAAAACTTGATAATAGTTTTCATGGAGAAAACTAAATTAGTTTTCATGGAGCAAAATGAGAGGAGTGGGAAGATTAGAGAAGTAAGGTACAGTATAGTGAATGAGCATATTCATATACTGTACTATATAGTAAGTCAGCATATCCTTATTCAGTAATATGTTGGATTTACATCTGTACAAAAATTAAAAGTAATTTCTGCAATGTTACTGTAGAGACTTATTTTTTTTCATTTTTCTCATCCATAAGTAATGACTGCCCCTGCTTTGTAGGCGGGATCACCCAGGTAGAAAAACATTCAAATAAAGTTAAAATCATGAGAGTACTGTACTTGATGCAAGTAATATCTTGGTTTGCATCTACCGTACTACCTTGCTCATGATGGTTTTTACAAACTAAGGCACGACATTAAAAAATAATTCTGTTTAAAATATTTTGTATTTCATAGTACTGTACCTGTATAAATTAGGATCCTACTGTATAAATGTGCCTCAGTAAAATCTTTTGAAGTTCCTGGGTGGTACTGAACCAAATGTAATGAGTTTATATTCCATATAGAACCCTAGGAGTGGAGTTATATTGTAACTTACAGGTTATATAGTACCTGGGAGTTAGACAGCTGCTACGGGCTGCTTCCTAGGGGAGTGTAACAAAAAGGAGGTCTGGTCGAAGACCGGGCCATGGGGACGCTAAGCCCCGAAATCATCTCAAGATAACCTCAAGATTACCTTGTGATGATTTCGGGGCTCATCGCAAGGTAACCTGTAAGTTGCAATACAACTCCACTCCAAGGGTACTATATGGAATTCAAACTCATTACATTTGGTTCAGTACCATCCAGGAACTTCAATAGATATTATTGAACCACATTTATACAGTAGGATCCTAATTTTAGTACATGGAGATTCATGCATTCCTAGAGACATTGTAGTACTGGCTGGTAGAATACTAAAGAAAAAATGAATCGATAACTGGTAAATAGGGCAACACAATGAATTATGTTAAAATAGTCTAAAATAAAATAGAGCTAAGATTTTAAACAAAAGTAGGCCAGACCAAAATACAGGGAAGGTAACCGCTCAAGCACTACTACTTCTCTTCACTTGCAAACTTCTTCACACACATTGCTCTTATTGTATCTTTATCCTAATTAATATTTATACAGAGGTTTATATAATGGCCTTGCCCGAAACGCTGTGTGTATAAGTGGCTTTAGGCTCTATCTAGAAATCCAGCAGTATGTTTGTTACTCATTTTGAATGCATGTACTTTTACCTGAATAAACATTACCTATCTATCTTCTCTAGTTTAGGGTATTATGTGCCGATTTTTTGTTTTGTTTTAAAATTCTTTTGAATCATTTTATCATGCAGAATCTGATAATTCAAAATGATGTGTAGACTCAAGATCTAGCTGTAAATATCTGTAGATGAACATAAATGTATGATAACTGAAGATATGATGCATAAAGATAGACTGTCTGCAGAGACTCGACACATTTGAGCAAGTCTTGCTACTTGTCTTATACTGTAATAGATTGTTTATGATTTTGTAGTAAATTCATCAACTGCTTAGATATTGTTTTGATGCCCCATGATCAAGTGTGTACCCCAAGGTGAAGTGTGCGACACGGACATCGATGAGTGTAATGGCAATCCTTGTTCTGAAGGAGCCACTTGCCAAGATCTCCTCAACGATTTCGCCTGCCTCTGCCCTCCAGGGGACACGGGACGCTTTTGTGAGACTCACATTAATGAGTGCGAGTCCTCCCCTTGTGAACATGGTCTCTGTATTGATCTCGTCAATGAGTTTAGGTGAGTGGAGGAATATCAGGAAACAAAGCACCAGCTATACATTGATTGCTGTTTACAGTACAGTATTTATATTTCCATGCCTAAATCACCGCCTCATGATATAGGATATTTCCAGTATTGTGAGGGATTATTGCACTCATGCCTGCAATATAGAAATTACATTTCTACGACTATGTTAATTTTTTACCTTACTCGTGATAAGTTCCTGTAGCACAGCAGTTTATTGTAGTTGACTCACAACTGCTTGAACTTATGACTGATTCCCGGGCAGGGGTGGATGCTTGGGTACATTTAATTACACTTGATGTAAAAGATGTACTTAACAGTAAATAAGTACCTGGTAGTTGGGCGACCTCAAAAAACCTAAGTGTGGACTTCCTATCCTCAAGAATTGTCAGGGGCTGGAAATGTGTCAAAGATAGCTTCATCCTTTGTCAGGAGGCTTTCTACACTTCTGAATCACTTGAGTGATGCCATGAAATCACTTTTGTGATGATATGATGGCATTCTATCATTTGGGTGCATGTGCTTATCTTGAGTCACCAGTACCATTAGTTATTAAATCGTTCACAATTTGAAACTCCTGGAGTACTTCACTACAACTCCATATATTAATTTCCTACTCTTCCCCACTCTCCCTCAGATGTTTGTTTCCAAAGTTATCACAACCATGATCACCTGTTCCTAGTGGATTAGCTTCCTGAATTCACATATCTGTGCTGCAGGGGCTTGAGTTTCATTTTTTCGTCCTGAATCTCAATCTTCAATTGACTAGTATATCAGTTTCAAAATCCATAGGATTCTGTCATATATGTAATATTAAGTTGCTTATCAAGTATGTTGCCATTTCTTTATTACTTTAACGCAAAAAAAATATAATATCCTTGACAAATTTGGATATTTTGCTTACCGTGTGTTTGGATATTTTATGCACCCTTCTCTATATTCCATCTATGTGAAAATAGTATGTCCTTATCTCCTGTATCATTTCCCCTGAGTTAGGTATATGGTGATCAATTCTACTATGTTTCGTCTCTCTTCCAGTGACATGATGTTTGTGTCAGATGTGTTTCCAAAATAATCCCACCATGATCAACTTGTGCCAGCAGAATTAACCTTCCTATATATGTGTGTGTGTGTCAGGTGTGTGTGTGAGCCGGGGTACACGGGTGACACATGCGAGCTGGATGTGGAGGAGTGTGCATCTCAACCGTGTGCTAATGGTGCTACCTGCACCGATTGGATCAATGGCTTCTCCTGCACCTGCAGCCCGGGGTACTCTGGCAAGCTCTGCACCACTGGTAATTACCACAACGTGTGCCTAATAACATTGACCATAATAATTGAAATATCACTGTCCTTAACCCTTAAATGGCTCGGCTAATTAGAAGTCTACATTGTGGTGTGCATGACAAAATTTTCTTTAGAAAAAATTTAATTTGGCTACTCAAAACACAGGTGGTGATGTCAGATAGCGATTGGAGTAATTTAAGGGTTAAGTATTAGGAATCTGAATTCTGTTTCTTATACTAAAGATACCCTGCTTGAATTATTGAATCTATTTCTTGATGTTTAGTGCAACTGTGCTTTATAGATTACAGTAAAACATTAAACTACATTTTGTTCTTGTAAGGAAAAAATAATTAACCCTCATTTAGGCTAAACATAGTGTTCTTTCTCAGAAATGCCAACAGACTTCATGTTGGAGTTTCCATCATCTGGCATCCTCAACTATGTGTCCATTGAAGGCTTCAAGAGACCTCACACCAGTGTAAGTGACAATTGCCCGACACCTTCAAAAGTTAACACTTTACTCTCCCTTATTTCATTCAGGTTTTTGTTATCCACCTATTTCCAGAATGTGATTTGGACGGTCTCAAAATTACATTTCCATAAAGTTAAAATAAAGTTGTAGCATCAGTATATAGCAACATTATGGGTCTTACAGTACAATGGTCTATGTCTTTGGATCTAGGATCAATCTATGATCTATAAACTATCTATAAACATTATGGGTCTTACAGTACAGTACAATGGTCTATGTCTTTGGATCTAGGATTAGACAAACTAGAATCCTGGGTTCGATTCTATAGTGGGACAGAAATAATTGGGGCCATTTCCTTTCACTTGATGCAGCTACTCATCTAGCAATTAAATAGGTACCTGGGAGTAAGGGAATTGTAGATTACATCTCGGGGAAAATCTGTCTAAACATTGTCTTCATTTACCCAGCAATGGAAATTATTTTCATCAATAATAACACAAAACAAAATATATTATATGTAATGACTAGCACCAGTCTATTTTTGTTCTTGATATATCACCTGTTATACCATTCAGTATTTGGAAGGACTGTTGAGTTTTTTATGAATTGACCTCTCATGGTTATTCTGAGCTAATGACTCAGAATAGCTAAAAAGACTATTTTAGCACCTACAGAAATCTTTGGGATATTTGAAGATTTCCTGTGGAATCAAGCTGTGTATTTTCCATCCTGACTGTGTACGACTCCATCCAAGAATGAGGTCTTACTGTAAGGAACTAAAAAATGTGAAACCTCTGAATAAACACAAGAGACTATAAACATTTAAACTAATTGATATATAAATTTGCATTGAATGAACTATTTTGTATATTTTGTTACTGTGAATACTTTCATAGTTTCTTTTATGTTTAAAGATCACTTTCCCATTGTTCTTTCATAGTTTGCCATTACTACTACTGCTGTTTATATTCAACCTTCTACAGGCGACAGTGTGCATGTGGATGCGCTCAGAGGACCGGGATAATTATGGTACTCCCTTCAGCTATGCCACAGATCAGCATGATAATGCGTTCACCCTCACCGACTACAATGGGTATGTCTTGGTGTTTTCTTGTGTGCTTCTGTAACGCGTATTATAAGAGGGGTTCTGATGACAAGGCTCAAGTGATGGCAGTTGCCGTTTAGTTATAGGTGTCTATGGATTACAGGTAACTCTTGATGACAGGTACCTATACACGCTAGGTTGAGCATTTTAGGCAAGGTCCTTATCTCTAATTGTCGTCATTTATCCAGCAGTGATATTCAGTGTAAATTAGTTAATGGGCTGTGTTTTGAAGGTAGAGTTAAGGTTGTCTCATCTCTTAGGGCTACTGCTTGATAGGGTCCCACACTAGCTGAGAGTTTTAGGTGTTGTGTTGGCAGCAGATTCTACACCTTGAGCAAATATGTATCAAGTTGGGGGCTTCAGGACTAGCTTTCCCTTGATGATGAGGGTACATAAATGCTTATTGGAGATAGGTATTTGCTGTGTTCACTCTTGACTGCTATACCAAGATTTATCATAAAACCTTTTGGTCGGTGTTCAGCATTAATTATACAAGGTGTATGTTGTGATATTAACATATTGAGATATTTAAATAAGCTATGAGTAATACAGTCAGTTTACAGTGCAACCTATTCTCTCGTGTAAAGCATCTATGTTTGTGACTAGAAAATCTAATGCTTTAATGACTGTATCTGGTACTAGCATTTTTAAAGGCATGATTGCATCAGTTTGTGACCTTTCATTCTACTGCTTTCCAAAGTTATATATTGTGTCCTGTATAGGCTCATGATCTACAATAAGGAAAGCAATATGACACTGGAGCCACTTGGACTACAGCGTCCTTGAAGAATCATACATGGGGCTTGAGAGTCACTTGAGACAGTGATATTATCATAAAGCCTGTGAAATTGACAAGGAATGAATATATTGCTAGCAGATTGTGGGCTAGGGCTCAAAAGCACATCTAAACCCTCAATTTTTGCCCTACCTTTGCTATGCTCTGAGGGTTGCTCCATCTTGTAAGTCCTTTGTATGGAGGGTATGAACTCGAGTTCTGGAATGGGGTACATGTTGCTGCCTGGTTCACTCTGAGGTAGATTAAGTTAATCCAGGATTCTAACTGGCCACAAATGCTACATAGCTTAGAATTCTGGGAAGCCTTGTGCTCATGAACAGTATCTGAGTGTCAGTTTATTCTGGCTGGATGACACTGCCTCTAAGAGACTCCCTAATACTATATATGCCCCTGTAAGGTGCTGGACTGCCTGTGGAGCCAGTGCTTTACAGAGCTTGACTGCAAATTGTGAGTCTTTAAGATGAGTAGGATATATAACTTATGAGTGCAGCAGTATAGCATAATCAGAAGGGAACTTTTCACAAGCTTGAAACATATTTTTGTGGGAATTTTATTAGACAGTTCAGTATCACATTTGTACATTAATGGGAAAAATGATTTTATAATAACATTTTGTTTAATAATTCCAAATATTTCAAAACCATCAGTTTATAAATGGTTATCCCATAAATAAATGTTACTAATCTTTCTGCTGTATTTAGGTATAATGTTCATACAAATTTTCTGCAATAATTTCTGTTTAGGTTATCTATCTTCTCAGTTGTTGTACATCTTTGTGCCCTCATAATATTCACATTTTTGCTGGTGAAGGAAAATGTATGACAGGAGAACTTTATAAAACATTTAATATACACAAATAGCAGTACGCATATAGATATTATAACTGGCACATTGGATCCCACTCCTGCAGGTTTGTGTTGTATGTGAATGGGGACAAGCAAATTACGGATGTGCGAGCCAATGATGGACAGTGGCACCTGGTGTGTGCCTCATGGACCAGCCACAATGGCACTTGGGCTATTTACCTTGATGGAGAAAAGAAAGATCATGGCACTGGCCTTGCTGAAGGCGCCACCATCAATGGTAAGTGAATGTAATGGTTAAGTACAAATTTATCCCAGTGCTAAGGAGCTCTATGGTGTGTGTTTGGTGCATTTTTGTTAGTTTCTTTGATAAATTATAATTCTCATTTTTCTACCTTCAACTAGAAAAATTAAAATATCCAAAGATAATATCCAGCACAATATTTCCTTGATTTTCACGTTAATGTAGTTTTCTATTTTATATTCCAAAATACCCCACGATCTTGTTCATTAAGGATTGAAGGGCGCTAGTTCTTCAAGCTGTATAGAAACTGTAATTTTTATATTACAGTACAGTACTTACATGTGCTGAAATGATGTTTTGAGGGAAGATTCTGTATCCCAATGCATTGTTTAGGCCACTTAACTGGCACTGCATGCCGCTCCAAGCAACAACCTTTTAGATCAAGTTACCACAACAAGCCTCGCTCCAGGCAGAGCTCGGGGAGTAGAAGAACTCCTGAAACCACTCAAGTATACTCCAGTGTCATTAATGACAGTACGCATTTCAAAAGTAAATCCTGAATAAAGAAATTATCTGGTTTATCTTTTATCTACATTTATCTTTTGCCGTCTCGCTGTTATTAACACTGTAATTCGCCTTTCTTCCTGTTTTGATGATAGTTTGACCATAAACAATATTTTTATGCTTGAAACACTGCAGGTTAGTGATTTTATGAATTGTACTTCTCTTGTTTTAACATTCTCCATTATTCATGTATCATATGTATGTACTCTTGCATACACAAAATAATACATATTACAGTATTATAAATTGCCTTCTACACTTCCATGGAAATAAACATTCCATTTACCTGAACTGTACGAGTCTCGAACCAAGGACCTTGATAGAGCTACATGTGTGGGGTCTACAGTTCGAGACCCATACAGTCCAGGTGAATGGAACATATTATTATTATTGTTGTTATTAATCTGTAATGAGAGATACCGCTACTCTTTCCATGGACGACAGGTTCAGGGACGCTGGTGCTGGGGCAGGAGCAGGACCAGCGTGGGGGAGGGTACAGCCCTCAGGAGAGTTTCCTAGGAGAGATGACACATGTAAATGTTTGGGATGAGGAGCTAAATCCTGCCACTGTGAAAGCCATCTTCAGTCGCTGCGATAGATATGTGGGCACCACTCTGGGCTGGCCGGACTTTCAGGCTGGTATAAAAGGTCAAGTTATGGTAGGTCAAATGCTCAGTGTTGCATCAATCTTGAAGTTTGTATATACAGAACAGTATTAAAGAATATTAAAATGTTGCTTTATTACAGTCACTAACCTGCTTGGATAGGCCCATACAAAGGGTCAAGGAAAATTTATTAGGCATACCACCCCTTAATATTGTACCACTCTTCCCTAATTTCCACTTGCCTATGAATTTTTGGGGGGCTTTCTCCACAAGTATTTATCTTGTGGAGATAAATACATACATACATCTCACTGTGAAGATGGAGGTATGGTACCATAAAAATAGCCTGTACCATTCTGGGTCAAAATTTTTGTGCATTCTGTTTTAGGATTACCCTTCAGTCCCTGCTAAATCATAGTCTTAATAAATCAAGTTTTACATAAAACTCACATAATTTAGTCGTGTCTTTGTAAATATCTGGCACAGTTTTTATTCTATAAATTTTTATAATATAAATTTTCTGCTCATTACTCAACATGGTTTCCATTTGGCCAGTGGTTGAAACACTTGTCAACCCTGGTGCACTATTATGCACCCTGGTCCAAAATTTTCATAGTTAAATCCAAGGATACAAGTGAGCACCATGGATGAATGGTGAACCAAAAGACTTATCCAAAACAATATTGTGTCACATGGTTTACTGACACTTTATTTATTTATTTATTTATTTATTTATTTATTTATTTATTTATTTATTTCATGCTGGTAAGATAGGAACCATCAATGAAAACTTTCCAACAACTATAAATTGACTTGTCACAGATGAAAAGTTCAACCTTCTGTCGAGGATGTGGTGTGCCAACGACACCCCAGAATGGTGCCGTGGAGGACGGCGGAGAGGAACTAGGTACTCGGGTCACAGTTACCTGTGATGTGGGCTTTAAGCTATACCGGGGCGAAAGTGAGCGTACATGTCTCCTCTACGGTGCGTGGTCTGGCGAAGAACCAGAGTGCCGACGTGAGTGGTACCACTGTTGACTTGTATCTTTCTGTTGTGATACTCACAGGATTGTCATCATAATCTGCCAAATACAGCATTGGAATAATCAGTTACGGCCAAGACAGAATTTAAAATAAATATTGAATAAAAATAACTTATTTTGAGGTTGACCTTTGGTATGGTCTCCTCTAGGTGTCACCTGCAGCTTCCCAGGCTACCTGTTGAATGGTCACATTGAGGGCAACAGGTACAGCTACAGTGATACTGTCAGCTTCACTTGTAACCCTGGCTTCATCCTCAAGGGTGACGCTGAGAGGACCTGCCAAGCTGATGGCAAGTGGAGCGGCCAACACCCTCACTGTGATGGTGAGTGGTAGGGTTCCTCTTGAAGATACTATAGAGAAATGAGGGTCATCACTGTGATGGCTAGTGGGGTTCCCCCTTGAAGATACTGTGACTAGGAGTGCAAAGGTTCTATTGAAGATACTGCAAGGGAAAGGAGAGAGTATTACTACTCATTGTGATGAGGAATTATGGAATTATTCTTAGATATAGCAGAGGAGGAGAGTCTCTCTCTGAAAAAAGATGTTCCAGTTATGAGGAAAGGAGGGTTGTGGGTCTCACTGTGAAGACTCCCAGGATCAAGGGATTCATTTAAATTTACTAAAGAGAAGTTGATAACGAAATGATGAAGTTTGACTTGGAGATGGTGCAGTGTAATGGGGTTGTCTTCTTGTGATGAATACTGTACCAAGATTTCTTCTGACATTAGTGAGGGACGGGAGTTTTCATTGTAATGATGAACATCAGGGTTTAAACTTATGATAATGAATACTATACCAGATTTTAATGTTCATGAGTTTATAAAGTTTTAATGCGATATTAATGCAGGGGGTTGATGTCTCAGGTACTCATGTTAGAATCTGAAATAAAATTTCAGTTATTTATTACAACCAAACAGTGAAACCTTGAATTGTTGAATTCACTTCTGATGATGATTATTTTGTTTTTAGTGATTAAGTGCCCCTATTTGAATGCGGGGCCTCATGGGCAGGTGCTCTCACTTGCTGGGGACTACATGCCCACCAACCAGATCAGCTTCAAGTGTGAGCTGGGCTACCAAATGGATGGCCCCAACACACTTACCTGTGGAGGCGATGGCGAGTGGGATGGACAGCCCCCATCCTGTCAATCGGAAACTTGTGGTGAACTTCCCAGGTAAGCTGAGCAAGTGAAAGACACTTGCAGTGATAACCTGGCTAAGGATAAGTAAATCATTAGTGGAGTAGAAATGGTATTACTACTAGGTAAAGTAATTGAGGAAGCCAATACTCTGACTATATAGCACTTGGAAGAAATACGAGGACAAGGATCTAGGGACTGTGTGGAGGAACACTTTCAGGGATTGAACACCAACTCTGCAGGAAGCAAGGCCATTGCTCTACCAACCAGTACAGGTGGATGGAGGAATGCTACTAAAGCTAGATTTCCCAAGCAAAATATGTATGTGTTAATAATATAAATAACTAGATAGTAATATCAAATCAGAAGTATGTATGTAAATATAATGATCAATTAAGGCAAATAAGTGCATGAATTCTAATATGATTTTCTTCCAACCTTGCAGCATTGCTAATGGGTATGTGGAAGGGGGCCCATTGGTGAGGCCTGGGGAGCAAGTAGTGGTCAAATGTGACTTTGGTTACAAGCTGGAGGGTGACGCACTAGTCACCTGCAAGGATGACTCCACGTGGTCCCGCCCATTACCCAAATGTGTCACACCCAAGTGCTCCAAGCCACCAGCAGTCTTTCATGGCACTGTCAAGGTAGGTCACCAATCGTCATTGCCATTGTTCATGCATTTGTGACTGAATTGTACTTGGAAGGGAGATAAAGACAAAATAGTGCAAGAAAGAAATGGCACAGTGCGAGCGGTCACAGGAGTATCCTAGTTTTTGCCAATAGTAATATGACCTCCTGCAATATAATGTACAATTTCCCTAGCCTTTTCTAATTGTTAAGAAGATAGACCAATTACAGTGCTACATTGATGACCAGCTTGCTCAACTTTTTCTTTATCACTTTTTCAGGTCTTTCCCAGTCCTGTTTTTAGTTTATTATAACCAGTGATTTAATGCATTAACCCTCGAAAGTTCTCGGCTGCAATATTAACGAGATTCTTTGCTATAATGTTCGGAATAATTTAGAATTATTAACACCTTCAGTCTCACGTCATTTAACATTCATCATAACAAATACTGTTTGATGTTTTCAGGTACGGGCTTCAGCCACATCCAAAGAAGCCGTATACAAATGTGATCCCGGTTATGTCGTGGCAGGAGCCAAAACACTAATGTGTGGTGCAGATGGAGAGTGGAATGGTCCCTGGTCCACATGTGAGGGCTTACCATGTCCTGACCCACAGGTACCACCACATGGCACCATACCCCATCAGGATGTCTGGCGAGTGGGAGATATTCTGACATACAAGTGTGATGTGGGTTATAGATTGTTTGGTAATGCCTCTCTGAAGTGTGTGAGCAATGGGTATGAGGGCGAATGGGATAAACACACACCCGATTGTCAAGTAATCACTTGCCCAGAGGCCAAAAAACCTCAAAATGGGGCTGTGTCTGTGGTACACCGTCCACCCGCTGTCTCTGACTCAACAACTACTCCATTTCAAATTTTACCTGTTGTCTATGGAGAAATAGAATTCAGAAGAAAACGCAGTCCTGATGATGATTTCCCAAGTATTGGATTTCCGAGTGTTGTAGACCTGAACTGGTCACAAAATCAAGATTATTCAGAGTATGGCCAAGCACATGGCTTACCGAGTGATTATGAAGGGTTAAATGGTTTGGGGCTTTCAATAGACACTGAGCAATCATCAGATCTCTATGAAGACTTTAGCCAGTCGGCAGATGCTTTTGAATTTAGCCAAAGCACTGGACAAGTGTCAAGTGATTATGAAGATTTTGGCCAATCATCAAATGGTTTTGAGTTTTCACAAACCCCACAAACTAGTGATCAAGGTTTGACAACAGAGCAGGGAGACAATTTATATGGCACCGAACTAGAATATGACTGTCGACCTGGCTACAAACTGCTAGGTGCTCCTCGACGCCGATGCACTGAATCAGGTGAATGGGACAACCCGGAGCCTCAGTGTTATGAGCAATTTTGCCCAGAACTTGCCCCAGTATCAAATGGCCATCTTGTTTATCATGGTTCAGGCATCGGAAGCCGTGTAGAGTATGTCTGTGATGAAGGTTACCGTCATAAAGGTGAAAATGATGAGTTGCTTTGCCTAGCAGATAAAACATGGTCGGGAAGTGTTCCTTCCTGTCAAATAATTGACTGTGGTGAACCTCGAGAGTTAGGTAATGGTACTGTCGATGCAATAGCAACTACATTCGGATCTATGGCTACTTACAACTGTTTCTTTGGTTATGTGCTTGAAGGTAGTGTAGAGCGTTTCTGCAATTCCCATGGCCGCTGGAATGGATCCATGCCACGGTGTGTAGCAGTGACATGCACTGTCCCTCCTGTTATAGATAATGGCTACATAACATTTGAGGGTAGTTTGTTTGTGGATTCTCCTATAGAATATGAGTGTAAAGAGTGTTTTAAACTCAATGGAACCAATATCAGGACGTGTCAGGTAGATGGGACATGGACTTTGGAAGAACCCTCATGTAATCTGATATACTGTGACGTACTGCCAAAGACTATTCCTAATGGGCGTGTAATTGGTGATGATAATGCGTGTGGCTCGCTGGTGGAGTACGAGTGTTTGGCAGGCTACCAGCTCAATGGGAGACAAAAGGCAACATGTTTGGACAATGAGAGATGGAGTTCCCCTCCACCAACATGTGAGAGAGTTAGTTGTGGCCTTCCCAAAAAACTGGCAAATGGGAACCATATAGGTTCATCTTATAAGTTTACTGATAAGATTACATACAAGTGCAACATTGGTTACGTGATGCAGGGACCTGATCTTCAGGTTTGCCAGGAAGATGGCACATGGTCACTTTCACCCCCCTTCTGTGCAATTGTTAACTGCACTAAACCCAGAGGACCTTCCAATGGCAAGGTGCGTCTCAGCGGGCTCTTTTTTGGCTCTTATGCAAATGTTGTATGTGACCCTGGGTATACTTTGGATGGTGAGAATAAACTTATGTGTGATGCTACTGGCAAATGGGATAAAGAGATGCCTTACTGTTTACCTGTCATTTGCCCACCTGCACCTCAGGCAGCACATGCCACATACAACTCCACTGAGGTGGAGTTTGAGGCTTTCATGATTCTTAAATACAAGTGTGATACTGGTTACTATGCTACAGTAGAAAATACCTTGCTAAAGTGCAATGCAGCAGGAAAGTGGGAAGGTGAGGTGATCCAGTGTCTGCCTGTGGACTGTGGCAACCCTGGGACTCTTCCTCATGGCCACATCTCGGGAAATAGCTACACATACGGTAATCAAGTTCAATTTACTTGTGATACAGGATACAGGCGGCTTGGTGCACCCACTGCCGAGTGTCAGGCTGACGGAATGTGGAGTAATTACGTCACTTCATGTTTACAAATAACCTGTCCTGAGCCACAGCCGCTCGAGTTTGGAAAGATGACAATGGAAAGTGGAGCAAGTATTTTTGGTGCATCCTTAGCTTACCAATGCAATACTGGTTATATTCTTATTGGTGACTCCAGCAGCACTTGTGACAGCAATGGTTTATGGACAGGAGTTTCCCCACGATGTAAAGCTGTCACATGTCCCGAGCCATTTGAAGCTCTCAACTCTGTGCGCATAGGTGACACATTCGAATACAATCAAAAAATATTTTACTCATGTAATGAAGGCTATGCTATGAAAGGTAATGCTGAACTTGAGTGCCAAGCTGATGGGTCATGGTCAAACCAGGCCCCTTTCTGTGAGATGATAACCTGCCCTGAGATCTCCGACATACCAAATGGAAGCTGGGAGGTGAAGACCTTGGGGGAGTATCCTATCAGGACTGAAGCACTCACATTAAAAGGCCATGGTAAAGGCCATAGCAAATCCCACAGTAAATCCCACAGTAAGGTGAAAATCTCTGCCAAACTCCAGTCACTGATAGAAAGTGAAGTAAGGGAAGAATTAATACACAAATTTGGAGATGTTATAGAATTTCAATGCAACCCAGGCTATTCAATGGCATCTAGTGGTCTTATGGAGTGTACAGAGGCTGGTTGGAACAGCCCTATTCCTCAATGCCACCCAATTGCGTGCCCCATTCCCATCAATATCCGTCGAGGTACTATCACAGGCAACGATTACACCTATGGTGCTACCATCCATTACAAATGTGATGAGGGATACGAACTTGCTGGTGTGGCTCATAGGATCTGCCAAGTTAACAAGGAATGGACAGATACTGAGCCCTTCTGCAGAGTTATTGAGTGTCCTCGACCGGCACCCTTGGATAACGGCCAGACTATTGGAGAGAGTATCAAGTATCAGTCCATTCTCTCATATGTGTGTGATGCTGGATTCAGGCTTGAAGGTCTTGCCACCAGGTAAGTCATTTGAAAAATATCTTCTTGCCTTGATGTTTCCTTCTCTTTCTGCATTATTTACATTGTCAAGTGCCTATATGTATATAGCTGTGTTTTAGTTTTACTCAGCGCTCTCCCATTCCTTTCATCTGATTCCACTCTATTCTAGTGTTTAGCTGAATCTGTCATCTGTACACACTCAAATTTTCTCATATTCCCATGTCTTCTTTCTTATCTCATCTTGCTTTTAACCCTTAGATGACGGCTTATGTCATGTGATGTATTTGGTTCATCTGGGGTTAATCTGGCTTACATTGTTTATTTTTCACTATAACAATTTTAAAATGTCTTGCTGCTAAATCCATATAATTGCAAAGAGTTTACATCTATGGCAAATATTATATATTGAAACTACTGACCTTTCCCAGGATGCAACCCCACAACAAGCCGACTAACTTCCGGCTACTTTTTACTGCTAGGTGAACAGAGGCATTACCTGATAGGAAATGTGCCCAAGCATTTCTCTCCCACCTGGGATTCAAGCTCAGAATTCCCAATTCCGAGTTGAGAATGAACACAAGTGTACTACCGGGACCCTAATTTACTGCTTTCAGTTGTGCATCGATTGCATTGACCCCTGCATTTCAGTACCCTTGTTATACATAAAAAAATATTTCTTCAAAATAATTAGTTTTAAATATTTTTCATTTGTAAAAATGAAACAAAATATTAAGCAAACTAATAATTTGAAAACTTGTTCACCGTGGTGACCTAGAGCCAAGAGAATTGTTTCGTCTGAGGGTTAAGGTTCCACCTCTTTCCATTTATAATCCAAAACCATAACAGATAAAGCTTTCACTTAATCACTGTCTTCCTATAATTTTGATGCCATGACCATCTTTACCAATAATCATTAAGAAGCATGTCTTCATCAGAACATGTCAGAGTAATGGCAACTGGACGGGGGAGCAGCCTGTGTGTGTTGAACTCTTCTGTGAAATTCCTGACGAAGTTAACCACAGTGTCCGGGAGATAATCAGCCTCAAGGTACTTAAACACATGATTCAGTTGTGCATCGATTGCATTGACCCCTGCATTTCAGTACCCTTGTTGTTATACATAAAAAATATTTCTTCAAAATAATTAGTTTTAAATATTTTTCATTTGTAAAAATGTTTTTCCTGCCGAAATGCTTTGCGTAATAGTGGCTTTAGGCATTGTATGTACTAGTTCTATCTATAAATCATAAATTTTTGTAAAATCTCTTGTATGTATGTACCTTACCTGAATAAACATTTATTTATTTATTTATTATTTATTCCTAATACTTTATTAATACTGTATTTCTTAAAATTGAAATTTTATAAAACATTATTTCACCCTTGTACACCCTCCATTGTTAAACAATTCTCAGGCATCTTGCTAATATATCCATAATATCACTCCACATTTACCTCTTTCACACATACCATATGTCTTATATTATACATGAGCTACTTTCTCTTAAGAACAATCTTACATTTTCCTACATTAATCTCAAATTTCTAATCTTGCACACACACACAGAAATTCTTTCACAATCTTTTGCAATTCTTCCTCACTCTCAACAATAAACACTGCATCATCTAAATACAACATGTCAGTTAAAACAAATTGTTTCCATCACAGTGCACTTCAACTCCAGGTGTTCTTGACTTTATATTACTAACCCATCCTGTAGTGCAGTCAAGGCACAATCGAAAGGTTTTGGGTTCAATTTTGTGCCGAAACAAACATTGAGGCACGTTTCCTTTCCTCTGATATGCCTCTTCACCTAGCAATAAATAGATACTGTAGTCAGAAAAATAGTGATCATATGGCAGAGGCAGGTAGCCAATATTTTTGTACATGGAGAATGAAACAATATATGGATAAGTGTAGGAAAGGGCTGTAGAGCTTAGTTAAGAAATTTTGTGTTGCTAGAGCCTATAATTATAGTAGTATTAGATTTTGTTTAATTCCATTTATATCTACCAATAAATAAAATAAGCTCAAGAGGTAAGGACCTTACCCTACCACCAAACTCTTTAGAAAAGCAAAATACACTACAGAATTAGTTACACTAATAACTGAAGCAACACCCACATCTACAACTACTGTACACACATTTTTATATAACATGAGCGACACTCATCTCGAGCAACACTAGTGCATTCAGAACTTGGACTAACCAGAAGCCTCTGGATACACAGGTCGGGGGCACAGTGCGGTACACCTGCATCGAGGGCTACCGTATGGAAGGTGCTGCCACCCTCAACTGTATTAGTGATGGTGAGTGGGACACGCAGCCCCCAGCATGCGTGCAGGTGGACTGTGGCCCTCCGCCATCAGGTGATAACGTCGTTGTCCAAGGCATCCACACCGTCTATGCCTCGCAGGTCAGTGATTCTGCTGATGCGGAGTTACATATACTCACTGTATGTAGGAAACATTTCCAATTTGTACAATAACTTTTATTTATGGTGCTGTGAATGTGAATTTTGAAACAAAAACTTTAATCCATAATCTCAACCAGTCATACTATTATTATTTGCTTTTCATTTTCATCAGGTGACTTTCACGTGCGAGCATGGGTTCCAGCTGAGAGGAGCTGAGTGGACCACGTGTATGCAGTCTGGTAGGTGGAGCAATGAGGCACCACAGTGTGATCCCATCTACTGCCCCACACCTTCTAATCCTGCACATGGCCACATTGTCCGTGGTTAGTACAGTACCTCACTCGCACTTCTTCATTTGTAATCTTTGTTTGAACAATGACAACTACAATGACAGAAAAGCATAAATTATTTTGTAAATTACAAATTAATTTACTGAGATTGATACAGGCATCTCTTGATTTATGGAACAGTTACATTCTTTATAAGTCTGTTAATAGAAATTCTGTGTATCCATTTCTGTTTTTCCATTAAATTTCATTATACAAGTCTATGGATAATATTTCAGCTCAGACATACCATAATAACAAACTTAAGAATGCAGAAAACCTTTTTTTTAAGAGTAGTGAATAAGTTTGTGACCTTGCTTTGGATACATATACAGTACTCCTGAATCATCATGTATAAGAGTCAGCAGGAGAAACAATAGTGAAAAAAAATAGTAATAAGAGGAGAGAGTAAATACGAAAAATAAACGAGAGCGAGTATTGAAATAAGTTCATTTTAGTGTTGACTGGAGGTTATATTTAGAAAATATTTGTGTATTCCAGCAGATAATAAAGAGGCTTCATCTTCGGAGGAAGATGATGAAGAGGAAGAGGAGGTAGAGCTTCTGCAGGCATTGAAAGCACCAAGACACAAGACTAAAACCAAGAAGAGCCACAAAAGCCACAAAAGCAACAGGAAGACAGCATCGAAGGGCAAAAAGCATGGGCATAAGTTCTTTGACCGAATGGTTGAAATATGTGAGCATTCTCATTGCTGTTAATGTATGCAGTAGTATTTATTTATTTATATGTATCCAATACTTTTCACAGTTCATTTTGTGTGTGTGTTTTCTTAAGTAAACAAGAAAGGTGTGGTGGGACAAGTGTACTCATTCTTCAGCCCAATTCTTAATGAAGCTACATAGAACATAGGGCTTAGAAGACACTAAAATCTTACAAAAACCTTATGGATAGTTTCCAATGATTAGGATTATAGACAAGTTGATAATGAAATAAATAATAAATAAAATAAATAAATGCTTATAATAGGATAATGCTTCAAACATCACTGAAATGACAAAAAATCTGGTATTTTCTAAACCATTTCTAACTTTATATCAGTGCCAGTAATGAACTTGTGTGTTGGTATTTGGGAGATTTATAGGGTGAAGTCTCTTAGTACCATAGTGAAATAAGTAATGACTGTAGATATAAGGTTTATTTTGGTTGCTGCCTGTATATTTGCTATACAGTACTCAATAAGTTTTGTGTCCATAGCATCACCAGAGTTGTAGGTCCACTTGAATATTCTCTAATCTAAGTTTGTAAAGAGTTCATTTTTCTTTTTTCTCTCCTAATAATTTGTCTATAAGCTCTGCAAAGTTTGAAGTTCGCAAAGTTGTTATGAAAGAAAATATTGTGCAGTTGTTCGAGTAACTTGATGCTTATTTATTTATTTATTTATTTATTTGTTTATTTATTTATTATTTATTTATCAATATACAAGAAGGTTCAATGGGTTGTGAAAGTGCATAAGTTGGTGATTAAGTGGTACATTCTTGCAAAGCCACTAATATGCATAACATTTTGGGCAGGTTCGAAACTAAACAAAGAATTTGCACATGATGTAAATTGGTGAGGCTTAGCTTACACATCATTCAGCTTCGTTTTCCATGGCCAGTAGAAAGTCTATTGACTTGGCATCAGCTGATAAAACCCAATTATGAATCCTATGGCTGTTTTAACACGTAGAATATGATATCAAACAGGCACCTCAAAGGTTGATCTTTCTTTCTCTGAAAAGTATACCGGGTGGACGATGAAGTAAAGTGGGAGTGTGAAGAAGGTTTCAAAGCTGAGGGATCAACTAGCAGTGTGTGCACTGCAGAGGGCGAGTGGTCAAATGACCCACCACACTGCAGGAGAGTGTCGTGTGGGTCCCCTCACCTCCCAGATTATGCACTCATTCAGAGTGATGACTTCCTCTATGGAGCCACTGCTAACTACTCTTGCAGGGAAGGGTATGAACTCGAGGTGGGTGCACAGTGGTTGATGCATCACATTGCCTGTGTAGTTGCATCATTGCTACAACTTTCTATGCTTTTCACAGAAATAAAGAATATAATGGCTAATATTTTACATCCAACAGCCATTCATCTTGAAATCCTCTTGCAAATAGTTTGTCTGTTTTATATTTAAACTCTTAAATGACCATTTTTATTCAACTTGTACATCATTTACGTTTCTCATTGAAAGAGTTAGTCAATGATAAATTCAACTTTTCTGAATTCCTGTACTAATTTTTCCTATTAATGTTCCTTAATTATTTCTATTTAAAATGGTGTTCATAGGGGGCGGGTGTTCTCACCTGTCAAGCCAATGGTAGGTGGAGTTCTGAGGCGCCAACCTGTGCACCGGTATCATGTGGACCACCTTCCCTCACCGTCCACACGTTAGTGCGCTACATCACCCCAAAGCACGGCCAGCTACATTCTTATGGCACTACTGCTTCCTACAGTTGCCACAATGGATACCAGCTACATGGTATGTACAGTCACTCTTATACACAATAATTACTTGCATAATAATATTTAGATAAATTATCTCCTCAGATATATTCTATTTACTGGTGACACTTTGTTTTTATCGAACATTAAAACTTACGCACACAACTGAATGAATTTCTAATAGCTCTATGAACTCGCTAATAGTAGAAAATATTCTGAGCTCTGTTAACTTTTTTGCTTCTTTATTCAATAACACCCTTGTTAACAAAAAATCAGCATTCTCTCGACTTAATTGACTTAAATCTAGGTTCATAGAAAATGTTTCCAAATGGTGTAATGTTCGACCAGGTCCTCTGATCTTCAAAACTGCCTCTTGGAGCTGGTAATTGATGTCACCTGTTGGCAACAGAGTCTATTGTTAACCCAGGCAGTAAAACCACGAAGAGTACCTCCTGCAGACCTTCATACTGATACCTCAAGCCTATTTTTATTATTTTGTCAACATAATTAATAAGGGATGATTGGCTTTGAACATTTTTACATATTTTCTAAAAAGGAGACTATTTATTTATTATAACTGTAATTATATTGAAGTTTGGTAAATAGACACCAAGAACGTAAGAGGCCACACCCCTCTCCTGAGGGATACTATGACATCTGTCAATATCTATTACAGTAAAACCATTTGACTCCAATCGACACTCAAACATTTGCACAAATGGTCATCATATGCCACGAACTGTATTTGCCATCTGACATGTCATATGATGCAAACGCAGACATTTAAAGGTTAATGTATCCAGAAAATAATATGTTAAGTAAATAGCTGTGGGGACATTTTGAAAGTAGAACATAATCAACATATTACTGTATGTATATCCTAATTCTATACCAACATCAAGGTACAACAATAAAAGGATGTTTATTTTGTAGCTGCCAAAGTAAATATATTAGTGTTTTCATATTTGCTCCTATCTACAAAGTGCAGCTCTCAGCACAATTACAGACATTTCCAAACAAATGCTCATCTGCTTATATTTGCTGGTATCATCATTACCAGGTAATATTTGCAATGGAACAGATATTATGTATTATGTACCAATGAATATTCCTTATTCCTATGAATAGTAGAAGCCCTAAATTAAGTACAAATTCCTGCTCTGCATGTCGATTAAGATTTATTCATATCAACAGGGGGTGAAACGCAGGTTTGCGAGGCCAACGGGCAGTGGGTAGGAGACAGCCACACCTGCATTGAAATGTTGTGTGAAGACATACCCGTCTTGCAACACGGCCTGGCAATAATTAAGAGAGAGCGCCTCCAAACAGCCACATTCTCTTGTAAACCTGGCTACAACCTGCTAGGGGACACTGTTATCGAGTGTAGCTTCGGGAAATGGCAGGAGTTCAAGTATGTCACTGGCCTAGTCAGACATCTGTCATGTATTAATGTTGCTTACACTTAAGGATTAATGCTATGAATGATCTTGACTGAGTTACATATTCTGTGCAAGTTGTTATATCCTTAATGACTTGTATGTTCAATAAAAGTTGTTGTAAACTTTTTAAATTCTTGTATAACTGGGTATAAATTGACAGTAACGTGCAGTTCATAATTTGATGATAAAACAAACATTAATGGTCAAACAAAATTTAGCATTTTAAAACAGTTTCATTATATCTGGCATCCTCTTTAGTTGGTTGTAAAGCTTGTTGTTCAGATTCTTCTCTGATACTTATCTTTGGTCCATTAATGTGGTTGATTATCTAGAAGGTTACGAGTCCTTAAATACATGAATGCCTTTAACATTTTAAAGGCATGCACTGTCACACACACACACACACACACACACACCATGCACCGTCAGCCCTCATTATGAGCCATTTCTATACGTATGCAATTCATCTTACATGAAGTAGATATTTAATTTTCACATGTTAATGTTCTTTTTGGATTCCTGTACATTCTTACATCATGGTGCCTTCCAAATATAATGTAATGACTACTGATCCTCAAGAGGAGAGATGAAATGTTTAAAAAGTTAATTGATCAAATAATAGAAATAGTAATAAACATAGAGTATTGCTTGTTGTCAACTTTAGGACAGCATGTTAATTAATCCATAATAATGTCCTGAGATGACTTGGGTGTTTTAACAGCACTACATGTGAACCTGTCAACTGCTATGAGCCTGCAATACCACCTTTTGGCAAGATCACGGCCAAGCACTTCAGCCTGGGCAGCATTGCCAACTACACGTGCTTGTACGGTTACATGTTAGTGGGTAACCCCTCTGTCGAATGTGATGCTGATGGCACCTGGAAAGGCGACCTGCCCCTCTGCCAGCCTGTTGACTGTGGCTTGCCGGAGGTTAGTCTCTTGATATTAAAAAGTAAAAGCCTTTAGATGTGTATATCTAGTTGTGTCTGTGGGAAGTGAGATTCAGCTGTAGAGCACTTCTATACTCTTTTTATTAATAAACTTTTTTTACTATCTTCACTTTTTATTACTAAACCTCCTTAAATTTTACTTATTTCTCACTCAGTTCTGTCTCCTGTGGGTCATTTGTTGAGCACAGCACCTCTCACTGCTTAGTGGCACTGGATCCTACTCACTTTTCCACTTTTGTGTTTTGTTTACCTCTACTGTCACCAGTCAGCCCATCCTCTTGTTTAGGTAGTTCTAAACGTAATGATGAGGACCATCATTCATACATTGACGTAAAAGGCAATTAGAAAGTAGAAATCAGTACTAATGAATTTGGACAAACCGGGAAAGTTTTTGTACTAATGTTGCAAAGAAAACTTAACCTAACTTAACCTTCCTAGGCCTAATACAGGCTATTTGAGGCCTAATACAGTACAAATATGTGCAATACTAGGCTTAGGAATATATAAATTCAGTTTTTTAGCTTTATTTTTCCTGACTTAATAGTAGTAAATAGTACTAAATAGGTGAATAGTGAAATACTAAGTGAATAGTACTAAATTCTACTATCTAATTCTCCAGTACGTCTATGTATGTATAATGGTCCAGATGGTTACTAAAAGTACTATCTAAACAGAATGATAAGATGCACCAGTGGGGTCCTGTATCAGTGGTCATCACTTCAATTCCCATGGAAGACAGATGTTTGGACAAGTATCCTTTCTCCTCACAGTAACTAGGTAACCGAGAGTTGGGCAACTACTCTTGGATGCATCCTGAGGAAGGTCTGTCGTTGGCCCAGGAAACTCTCAATATACGTAACAGGCTTCCTGGCCCCCCTTGACAATAGAGAAACAGTTCACAACCTCACTTCACAACCCTTGACTATTTCTGGTTCTTTTTGGTCACTTTAGCTGCGTGTTACTTCCGTGAAAATCATTGCTGTCGTGTTGGGGTATGCTTGAATGGGGGTTGGCTACATTACAGTACAGTACTTGGATTGAAATTAATATTCAATTTAACATAGAGTTATATATTTAACATAGGCAACCCCACTGCCCAACACAGTGTGGTGTAATTTGCCTTGCATTACCTGTGTTAGAGATAAGGAATTGGGGATGGAAACCCATCTTCAGACTGCTGCCTTCCCTTCCCATGGAAGTGGGACATAGGGTAACGCTTGTGCATTATGAATGAATAAATCTTTAGGTATAACTATACAGGTAGTTTACACTAATAATTGTTTTCAAAATGAACTTACCATAATTTAGTTGCCAATGAAACATTTATGAATGAAGCATTTGAATTTGAATTACATGTAACAAAGCTTTAAAATGAAATTGCAAGACAAATATTGACAAAAATTACTTTTTGTATTTTACCTTATATGGATAACCTAACTTCACAAGAACAGATACAAAAAAAGCATAAATATTGTATAAAGAATGCAGTTTAAAGGGCTAGTAATGATGCATAAAATATTGTAATGTTCTACTGTTTAAGTAGACATTTTATTGATTATATTCGAACTAATAGAACTGTCGATATACAGTACAGTATAGTATTTCTATGCATTAATATACTAGTAATGGTTTTTCTGGTGTTTCCCAGGACATTACCAACGGAAAGGTGGAGTCATCACACACAGACCTTGGGGCAGAGGCGCTCTACCACTGTAATGCCGGCTACCAGCTCTTTGGCAGTGACTCTCGTGTATGCGGCGCCGATGCCATCTGGAGCGGCAACCTCCCTCAATGCCATCGTCAGTACATTTAACACTGTAAAACTAACTGTAAAGCAAATTTTGTTTTTAATATGCTCTATATATAGCTTTCATTTATAAACTGTAAATTATGGTTTTGTAATTGATCCAGACATCATTTGAGTACTGTATATAATTTGTTTCACTGATATTTATTGTGGTCTTTTACAGTTAAAAACTGTGGGGAAATCAAGCCACCACGAAATGGATTTGCTATGGGTGTGGGGACATTGTATGGTGATAAGGTGAAGTTCGCATGTGAGCGAGGCCACGTTCTTAGGGGAGACGCCCAGATTCACTGTGACCATACAGGCACCTGGTCGGCCACAACACCATACTGTGAACGTGAGTTGCTTCTTTAAATATACTGAAAACCCCCAGTAAAATAAAATTTTACAACCATATTATCTAATAACAAGATACAAATGTGTTAAATATTTGTCCATGAATGTAAAAGGAGAAGTATTTCTCCACAAATGTATAATATGTCAAAACTAATGTACAAAGGCCCCTGCTTAAATTTTAATACTGTACTGCATTTTAATGCTGCATATACATATTGATACAAATATAACAGAATTGGATAGAATCACACATACTGAAACCCATATTATTTACTGTACCTTATGTCCCATTATATCTGGGTTGATGTCCAGATTAAGACAAAAAGTTGAACATAAGCACTGTATAGTAAAAGAGGGTAATAGATATTAAATAATAAAAAAATTATAACATCACTTATCTATTCAATATATTATCAAATAACATCACTTATATATTCAACATATTATTCACACTACAGCATCATCGATAAACAAGCACCACAACACTATCTATGTGTATCCACCTCCATTATGAGAAAACACTAACGTGCATTCATGAACACTGGGCATCATTTTACAGCTGTGGTGTGTGGAATTGCTCCTGTGCCTCCTAATGCGGTAAAACCTCCAACGGTTTCCAGTAAATGGGTTTACCAGGATCGCATCCAATACACGTGCAGTGAGGGCTACATTATGCGGGGTGATCTCACCGCCACATGCACAGAGTCTGGTCTCTGGTCCCGTGTTCAAGGGCAATGTGCAAGTATGTATATCTTATTCACTTCCCTGACCTGGTCTTTATAGTATTTGTGATATTAAATGCATTCAATCATACATTTATTGAATACTTTATGTATTTATAAGCTTCCACAATTATGAAACAATTTTTGTTTTTATTGTTACTGTAAGTTGCATCAATTTATAAATATGAATATCCCTGTAGTGGCTCCCATTGAACAGAAAATCATGCATTGTCATGTACTGATACATCCCCCCCCCAAAACCCCTTCAACCACACTGTCATATTATCTTGCCCTCTTTCCTCCTGTGTTTCACCACGATTTCATATTATCTTGAAGCATTTACTAGATTATTTATTTATTTTTTTCATATCCTCAGTCCACCCATTGTTCCTACTCCAACTGTAATCATCAGTGTTTTCATTGCTTGTCTTTTTTCTGGCAAATCTGCTCAAGTTTGTTTATTTCCCTTCCTATGTAATCAAAACTATTCTATCAATCACAGTCACACTTCCTAATTAACACTGTACAGTATATTTATAACTATAGAGCACCACTTGGTTCCCGAACTTTGGTTATCCGAAACTTCCAGTTTCCCAATTGGGGTTGGGGAGTCACGCTACATGAACTAAGTTTGGGTAGGAAGCAGTCCGCCAAGCTTCACGCTGGCCAGGGTTGGGGTTACCCTACACGAACCAAGTTCGGGTGAGGAAGCGGTTTGCCAAGCATCGCGGCGGCCCGTTGTGGTGGGTGGGTGGGATCGAGATGGTTTAGTTTGCCCACTGACCATGTCAGGCGCCACCACTCTAGTGCCTGCGACCCTGTGATGTCACAGATTCACAGTCTATTGTTCTCATTGTTTGAATTTTTCACGAGACTGGAGTGTTCATTCTGTGACTTTGTTTTACATATCAGCACAATCAAGGAACATCCATGCACCATGTCGGCTCCAAATGCACGCATTGTGTCAGTGAAAGCATCAACAAGTGGGTTACGTAAAAGAAAGAGGTCAGTGACGACATTTGAGAAGAAAGTTGAAATAATTAAGAAAGTGGAGAGTGGTGTCCCGAGAAATGTCGTGTGCACTGAATATGGCATTAGCAAAAGTACTGTTTATGATCTTCTTAAGGCTAAACCTATCACTTTTTACTATTTCTCTAAGAGAAAGTTGTAAGGCAATACAAAATAGAAAGGTAATAAGTAAAGCAAAGGTGAAGAGTGTTGATAACACAAAACAACAAAATATGACCCCTCCCCATTTTCAGTAATTGGAATATTTTCGGTATAAAAAGTCGTAATTTAAAAATGAAATTGGGTGCAGAGAGTCAAAATTCGACTCGAGAATCACGCTCAGGAGTCAAATTTCTGACATTTCAGATATTTTGAAAACTGCAGGGGGGTTTGGGCAAAATATGTCCCATTGCCATTTTCAGTAATTGGCATATTTTCCGTACAAAAATTCGTAATTTGAAAATGAAAATAGGTGCAGAAAGTCAGAATTTGACTCAAAAATCACGCTCAGGAGTCAAATTTCCAACATTTCAGATATTTTGAAAACTGCAGGGGGGTTTGGGCAAAATATGACCCATCACCGTTTTATGTAATTGGCATATTTTCGGTATAAAAACTTGTAATTTGAAAATGGAAATAGGTGCAGTGAGTCAAAATTCGGCTCAGAAATCACCCTCAGGAGTCAAATTTCTGACATTTCAGATATTTTGAAAACTGCAGGGGGGTTTGGGCAAAATATGAGCCATCGTCGTTCCATGTAATTGGCATATTTTCGGTATAACAAGTCGTAATTTGAAAATGAAAATAGGTGCAGAGAATCAGAATTCGGCACAAAAATCACGCTCAGGAGTCAAATTTCCGACGTTTCAGATATTTTCAAAACTGCAGGGGGGTTTGGGCAAAATATGAGCCATCACCGTTTTCAGTAATTGGCATATTTTCGGTACAAAAATTCGTAATTTGAAAATGAAAATAGGCACAGAGAGTCAGAATTCGGCTCAAAAATCACGCTCAGGAGTCAAATTTCCGACGTTTCAGATATTTTCAAAACTGCAGGGGGGTTTGGGCAAAATATGACCCATCCCCGTTTTATGTAATTGGCATATTTTAGGTATAAAAAGTCGTAATTTGAAAATGAAAATAGGAGCAGAGAGTCAGAATTCGGCTCAAAAATCACGCTCAGGAGTCAAATTTCCGACGTTTCAGATATTTTCAAAACTGCAGGGGGGTTTGGGCAAAATACGACCCATCACCGTTTTCAGTAATTGGCATGTTTTCGGTATAAAAAGTCGTAATTTGAAAATGAAAATACAGTAGGTTTAGAGAGTCAGAATTTGGGTTAAAGTCATGCTCTATAACCTTTCTCAGGACATCTGGTACATTGCTTTTTCCCCCTTCTGTTATCTTGGCATATACATTATTAAATAATAAAATGTTTCATTATAATATTTAAATATTATAGTTTTTCATTATAATATTTAAATACATGCATTGTACATTTAAATTAGAAATGGTGAAATTTGAAAGACTGCAGGAAAGGAGACAGGAGTCCCTGCTACTCTATATATTCCTTTTTATGCAGTACTGCATCACCCTTTTTTTCCTCTCATTCATCATTATCATAGATATTTTCAACTCATGGTCTTTCAGCTGTCACAAGTATTTTGGCAAAGTTGAGAATTTAACTAATTTGGCTCAGGAGTAGGTTGTGTTACAAATGCCTTGGGTAATCTGTGTAATAAATCTATTGCATACTGGAGTTGTATTATAACTTGACAATTATCATTAACCATAGATTTTCCTTGTAAGCTCTATTACTGTACGTACATACTTTATTAAACCTGTATTGAACAGAGATCTCCTGCGGGCGTCCCAAGATCAACACTGACGGAGCAGTGGTGCTGGGCCGCTCCTTCTACTATAAGGACAAGGTGGTCTACCGCTGTCCACCAGGTCAGTCTCTTGCCTACTCACATAAGGTTTGCCTCGAGTTTTGTACCACCATAGATTCAACAATACGTCACTTTAAAAGCTTGACACAGTAGGATGCTTCACCTCAATACTCTGTACTAGTTTGGCAAATTGCAGTTAAATTCACCATCTAAGTGTATATTGTTATGACTAATTATACTAATAAAATTCTGCTAATATTAATAGTAATCTATATTTACAAAAGACAACTGTCACAGAAAAGTTAATTTAGCTCGGTCCTTAAAACTTTTTTCCCATCAAAATCATTTTCTTACACTTCTTGATGCATACTTTTGGGGAACATGAAAGCCCCCTGACATTTTTCAACACAAATTCATAATTCATTGTGTCGGGGGACAGGAAGCCAGAGTGTATTCATACACGATAAAGGAAGCATCAAGTGATGGTACCCTCCAAGTTGAGGAAGGGTACGTTGTAAAACTGGATTGGAGAGGTACAATTTCAAAACCTCAGGATCTCATGATTATAATTTTGAGCTCTGCCAATCTGTGCAATTATTTGGAGATACATGTATCTAAGGGAGCTGGGCACAGGCCTCAAGAGATGGAATTAAAACTAGTTTTTATCATTTCACATGAATTATTGATTATCTTGGATCTAAATAGTTTGGCAATAATAACCTTGTAGAACAAGGTAGTTGTGACACTAGATATTAAACTAATCAATGACACTTTCCCTGCAGGTCAAGTAGCCAATGGGTCGGCAGTATTAACATGTCTGGCAGATGGAGCATGGTCAGGAATTCCTGCTTGTGTAGGCCACTGTGGGCGTCGATGTCTAAATGGAGGCGTCTGCCTCACCAACAATGTCTGCACCTGTCCCCCAGGATACGTCGGTGACCATTGCCAACACGGTGAAGTTTCTCTCTTGCAGTAGTCACACCAATATTCTTTTTTAATGCTCGCCATGAGTGGAAATGGCTTCCTGTTTTCCCCTAGTACTCATCAGTTTTTGCAGTGCACAATTGTTTAAAATTTAAAATTTAAAATTACAGTGGGTTTTGTAACAATCTTGGTGTGTACATAGTACTCTATATTCTTTCAATGCCATTAACATGCATAGCATGTTATGTAATGTAATGTAATAATGCATAGCATTTTGAGCAAATCTTAAGGATAACAAAAGTAGTTAAGGTATACAGTACATCAAGATTTTGATGTGATTTGAAAGTTACAAGATATACTATAGTCAATCTTAGAGTACAGTATTATAGTTAAAGAGATTTGAAAGTTTATAGAAATATAATCAATTTAAAAGAAAATGATTGAACATATTATAATTAACAAGTAGACAGGTACTTGCTATTTAAATTTATGTAATGATGTATGCTCTTCAGAGACTTCTGTCGTATGCAAAAGGGGTAAAAAAATTTACAATGTGGACAAGTAATTTATAATGCAATATAAATTTGCCTGATGTGTGTGTGGATGAGAATCAACGCATGTGTGGATGAGAGGAAGTGAGGAAGCAAGCTCTTGTTTGTTTATAAATAAGTGTGGGAAGATGGGCTGAATTTCACCAGAACTCATTAGGAAAGAAATGACATTGGATACATACTCCTAGCACAGAATCATAACAGCCCCCCCAAAACAAGCATATGATGTATACTTCTAGCACAGAATGACAGACAAAAGAAAAGTACAGTAGTTGCAAAACTATGATGGTTAAGCTGAAAATAATATATTGCATCCAAGGTGACTTTCCATTTTGGCGTTGTCAGAGCTGATGGTTCAAAACAGGTTTTGTTACTGGACAAATGAAGTGTCATGAGGAAATCAGGGTAGGTTTATAGTTATCTTTTATGGGTTAATAGAAAAGAACTTTCCCTGCCTAACAATGTGGAAATTGCACAGAACACAGATAACCTCGTGTGGAAAAGTTTAATTATTTTGCACGATTTATCTAATTGGCCACTGTCTCAAGAGGTAATAGCAGGAACGTGAAACCAGGGGCTTGTTTACCAAAACTTGAGCAGGTCCAGTAGGCAGGATTTTCTTTTCATGAAATCATGTAGTGATAATTTGACAAGGTTGTGCTGTACTCTGTGGATGATTTCTTCATTCAGGATTTTTTGGATGCTTACATTTAGATTAGGATATGTCTGCATATTTCATACGCTCACATGGAGGAGGAACCCTTGTAGAGAAGAGGGACCCCCTCATAGGGGAGAGGGGATCCTCATAAGGGAGAGGGGATCCTCATAGGGGAGAGGGGACCCTCATAGGGAAGAGGGGGACCCTCGTAGGGGAGAGGGAACCCTTGTAGGGGAGAGGGGACCCTCGTAGGGGAGAGGGGACCCTCGTAGGGGAGAGGGGATCCTCGTAGGGGAGAGGGGATCCTCGTAGGGGAGAGGGGACCCTCGTAGGGGAGAGGGGACCCTCGTAGGGGAGAGGGGACCCTCGTAGGGGAGAGGGGACCCTTGTAGGGGAGAGGGGACTCTAGTAGGAGAGAGGGGACCCTAGTAGGGGAGAGGGGATCCTCATGAAGGAGAGGGGACCCTCGTAGGGGAGAGGGGGCCCCTAGTAGGGAGAAGGGACCCTCATAGGGGAGAGGGGGACCCTCGTAGGGGAGAGGGGACCCTCGTAGGGAAGAGGGGACCCTCGTAGGGGAGAGGGGATCCTCATAGGGGAGAGGGGACCCTCGTAGGGGAGAGGGGATCCTCATAGGGGAGAGGGGACCCTCGTAGGGGAGAGGGGGACCCTCATAGGGGAGAGGGGGGACCCTCATAGGGGAGAGGGGGACCCTCATAGGGGAGAGGGGGACCCTCGTAGGGGAGAGGGGACCCTCGTAGGGGAGAGGGGATCCTCGTAGGGGAGTGGGGATCCTCGTAGGGGAGAGGGGACCCTCGTAGGGGAGAGGGGACCCTCATAGGGGAGAGGGGACCCTCGTAGGGGAGAGGGGACCCTCGTAGGGGAGAGGGGAACCTTGTAGGGGAGAGGGGAACCTAGTAGGGGAGAGGGGATCCTCATGAAGGAGAGGGGACCCTCGTAGGGGAGAGGGGACACTCATAGGGGAGAGGGGGCCCCTAGTAGGGAGAAGGGACCCTCATAGGGGAGAGGGGGACCCTCGTAGGGGAGAGGGGACCCTCGTAGGGGAGAGGGGATCCTCATGAAGGAGAGGGGACCCTCGTAGGGGAGAGGGGACACTCATAGGGGAAAGGGGGCCCCTAGTAGGGAGAAAAGACCCTCATAGGGGAGAGGGGGACCCTCGTAGGGGAGAGGGGACCCTCGTAGGGGAGAGGGGATCCTTGCAGGGGAGAGGGGACCCTCGTAGGGGAGAGGGGGACCCTCATAGGGGAGAGGGGGACCCTCATAGGGGAGAGGGGGACCCTCATAGGGGAGAGGGGACCCTCATAGGGGAGAGGGGACCCTCATAGGGGAGAGGGGGACCCTCATAGGGGAGAGGGGGACCCTCATAGGGGAGAGGGGGACCCTCATAGGGGAGAGGGGGACCCTCATAGGGGAGAGGGGGACCCCTCGTAGGGGAGAGGGGACCCTCGTAGGGAGAGGGGGACCCTCATAGGGGAGAGGGGGACCCTCATAGGGGAGAGGGGGACCCTCATAGGGGAGAGGGGGACCCTAGTTGGGGAGAAGGGACCCCTCATAAGGGAGAGGTGACCCTCGTAGGGAAGAGGGGACCCTTGGAAGGGACCCTCGTAGTGGAAAGGGGACCCTCGGAAGGGACCCTCGTAGGGGAGAAGGGGACCCTTGTAGGGAAGAGGGGACCCTCATAGGGGAGAGGGGGACCCTCATAGGGGAGAGTGGACCCTCGTAGGGAAGAGGGGATCCTCGTAGGGGAGAGGGGACCCTCATAGGGGAGAGTGGACCCTCGTAGGGAAGAGGGGATCCTCGTAGGGGAGAGGGGACCCTTGTAGGGGAGAGGGGGACCCCTCGTAGGGGAGAGGGGACCCCTCGTAGGGGAGAGGGGACCCTCGTAGGGGAGAGGAGACCCTTGTAGGGGAGAGGGGATCCTCGTAAGGGAGAGGGGACCCTCATAGGGGAGAGGGGACCCTTGTAGGGGAGAGGGGACCCTTGTAGGGGAGAGGGGGACCCTTGTAGGGGAGAGGGGGACCCTCTTAGGGGAGAGGGGACCCTCGTAGGGAAGAGGGGATCCTCGTAGGGGAGAGGGGACCCTTGTAGGGAAGGGGACCCCTCGTAGGGGAGAGGGGACCCTCGTAGGGGAGAGGAGACCCTTGTAGGGGAGAGGGGATCCTCGTAAGGGAGAGGGGACCCTCATAGGGGAGAGGGGACCCTCGTTGGGGAGAGGAAGACCCTCATAGGGAAGAGTGGACCCTCGTAGGAAAGAGGGGGACCCTCGTAGGGGAGAGGGAGACCCTCCTAGGGGAGAGGGGACCCTTGCTGGGAACAGGGAGTCTTAAAACACATTATGGGACCTTGTCCTTCTCACCACAAACAGCCCTGTGTGTTGCATCATGTCTTAATGGCGGAACCTGCGTTGCACCGTACAAGTGTCGCTGTGTTACGGGTTATGTTGGTGCCCGCTGCGAGACTCGTGAGTCTTTCAGTAACAATTGAATGTTTTTTTCTTATGTTCTGGATAGCAAGGCTGTGAATACGACACATCTTGTTATTGATGTTTTTCTGCAATAATGCTGTTTGCTATACCAATGCTTGCTGCTGTATTCGCAGTGTAAATTAAGCTTGAGCTTTGTCTTTCATAAATAGATTTCCCATTTTTATTTACTTCTACAGTATTTGATATTAGGTAAATATATTATTCTGTGAACTTTAATTATTATAATAAGCAATGAATACATTAATTCAGTACATTAATTACAGTACAAAATTTTGTTAATGGTGCTTGAAGTTAATAGAGCAGGACAATTCCAAAGTCTCTCGGTAAGCTATTTCTGTACAAGCTATAACATAGAATACATAACATATAAACTACAGTATTTACATTGAAAAAGTATAATCATTTCCTGTTGCACCTTTCCAATATACATAGAATACAAGGTATGAAGCTTCAAGAAATGTCCATTAAATTTATTTTAGTAGATGATGATAATCAATTTTTTACCAACAATCTATAATAATTCTGGGAGTTTGCAGTTCTTGACTGCTTGTTCTTTCAAAAAATTCATAAGTTCTCGAACATTATGTAGTAAATGAGAATACTTTGGCAAATTCAGAAATAATTACAAAAATCAATTCTAGAGCAGAAAGATTTGACAGAAATTCTCTCTAAAATTTAAGCTCATTCTCAAAGTGATAAAGAAATACTGTACAGTATAAGAATACAGAGTATTTGCATATAAATTCTGCATTGGTAATTTGAAAAACATGTACATGGAAAAACTAAACAATCATGGTTTCTCAATAATTTATTAAGTTCAAATGGAGATATATGACAGTATTTACTTGCCAACACCATTTTCTTTCTCTCCAAGTTAAAACATTATTCAAGAGTGCTAACTTTCTAGGGCCGTGCTTTCTCCAGTGATAATACTAAGTAATCCTACTAATTTGTGTAGCAAGAGCCCAACATCTTATCCTCTTCATATATTCAGTCTTCTCTCATCATATCACCCTCTCACATGGAGTAAACCAAACTGTATATCTGCATTCTTTATACTAAAACTACTTATTTCTTCATCTTTGTAGTTCATTCTAACTTATTAATTATAGGCTCCCAGTCTCATGCCATCAACAATATTGTCTTTATTTACCTTTTCATTCCCTGATTATTCGTCCTAATGACTACCTTTTGGCACTAATAATCGGCTGCCTGCCTTAACCCGCACTGCTCCCCAACAGCACTTTGCCCGCTGCCCTGCCTGCACGGCGGTGTCTGTACTGGACCACATCGTTGCACCTGCCTCCCTGGATATGCTGGGGCCCGCTGCCAGACTCGTGAGTCACCATTTCTACAATCATGGCATTCCCCATTAGTCTATGATATTACCAGATATTACCAAATGCAGAAACTAAAAACCACTAAACTATTTTTTTTCAGCTAGCCTGATGTCTTGACTCTCTGGAATCATATGATGGACATCTTGGATTCCCAACTAAGCATAATCTTTATAATTGACCTCTATTTCCCCCCACCAAATCTGACATACAGTATTTTAGAAACAGATCTCTGCTAAATGAATGGTGTAGTGCTCAGCACATTTACTTTAGAGAAGACTTGAGTCATCTTATTCGTAAAGAATACCTCACCACTGTGGTATTCAGTTCTTCCATCTGATAGTCAATTTCCAAATTTTGCTCCCTGATTCTTGGACTACCTCAACAGTCTATTTACCTGTCTGATTTGTTTAATTATTTTAAGCAAGCCCCAGTGATTTATCCTAAATGTATTTGCCCTTAACAGCAGAATGAAGAGATTCAGGCATGTTTCCTTACACCTAATGTGTTTGTTGACCTGGCAGTAAATACATACCCAGGAATTAAGGGACTGTTCTAGGTTACAACCTGAGGAAGGTCAGTCGTTGCCCTAAGGTGACTTGGATAAGCTTAACAGGCTTCCTGTACCAGAAAATATGAGACCAAAACTTTAGAATTTCATTGTGTTTCATTCTCAGGTGTTCTTTTGTTCTAACTAAAGTCATCTTGCCTTAGCCTAGCTGTTATGGCATAACACCTCCTTGTAGGCAACCCATCAGCCATCTGTCCCAGCTACCAGGAGCTGCCAATTAACACCTGCTGTACTCATTGTTGACCCTCTTTTCATCATAACTGTAACCCATTACAAATGTTTTAACAAATAATGTACAGTAGTTCACATTTTAACTATGTTTATATTGAACTCATGACCTTCAAGCATTGCACAATATTGTACAGTATTTATAAAGTTTTCTTTACTAGCGCAACTGAAAGGAATATGTAAACCAGGTTATACTCTGACCTATCCTAAAATCATGTGAAAACCAGGCGGTATATAATATTTTTAAGCAAAAATATAGAGTAAAACTTTGGTATGATGCATTGGTTACTCCCGACAGCTGTATGTGAGAACGACTGTGGAGACCGAGGACGCTGCATTGGCCCCAACGTGTGTCACTGCAGTCGAGGCTATACAAGTCCCACTTGTGACGAGTGAGTATGATTCTAAAATTCAGCTGGCTTTTCTCAGTATAACCCTGCCAAGTCTTGCCAACCTAATCCTACTTTGCCCTACCATATCAGCTATTTTTGAACTTTCAAATATTGTTCCAGAAGTTAAAGCTTAACTTGTTTTAAGGTTTTAATTATAACGAAGTTCAGACTTTTGAGGTTGTATTGAAATAATATAGTTAATTTTTGTTTTTAAGAATACAGTGACTGCCCAGCGATTCTGAACATAAAGAGCTGTTCTAAGATTTTGTGCACTCATCTAAAAAAATTTAATTCATTTATATACTTATAGAAATAAAGGTTTCAATCTACAGAATATGTTCAGTCCTGTAATAGGTTGGTTTTTGGCAAGTCAGACTTAGCCTATATAATTGCCATTCATTCCTGGTGAAGTGTGGGTAAGATGGGTTTAGAGGGGGCTGCATTACAACCACATACAGTACTGTACTGACGCACTAAAAAGAACTCGCCATGTAGCATAATGCTGATTGTGAAACTAACCTATTCTACTGATCAACAGCAATGACTATGACTACAGCTACTATGGTAGCCGAGATGATATCCACGAACGGACCCGCCTTGAAGACTGGGACCTGGTGGCCTTCCAACGACGCTATCATTAGTGGCCATAAAATCTTCCTTGCTTTAACATTTATAAAATATTTTCTTTGTGTACATTAATCATATAAAAGCTGTTATGTGTTGTAATTATCGCTATGTAGCTACACAAAGATTTTTTTAGTTATTTTGTTTCAGCCGATTTTATAATCATTACTTCAGTGTGATCATTTAATTTTATACTAGAATTGTCAGGCATCTTCCAGCTATTAAGTATTGATTAATGGAAACAAACTATAAATGTAAAACCTTATTTAGCAAATATAAATATTGGATGAGAAAATCAGGATGAAAAAAGTACAGTACTGTATTGTACTATTAAAGTACCTTTAAGATTGCACTACAGAAGTAAAATTCCAGTTTTTGGTACTACATGTCTAAGAGAATGTACAATGGGTTATGAATTATGTAGTTATACTTTACATCCTATAATCATGATAAAATACAGTATACTATTCTTAAATATGTAATAAAATCAATATATGATAGGCATATGATTACGGTTGTTGAGTTTTTAATATTTCGTAACTTTAAAGATATCTTCATATGTGAAATATCTGTAGATATCCTTCATTGAATATCAGGTTAAATGTCATAATGGCATTTAATTACAAAATGGCCTCCAGTATTTACCAGAATATATTATATAATAAAAGACTGAAAATACTTTGTTTCGTTCTTCCTGTTGAAAATTAAACTGAATGAGGGGTTTCGGGGAAGAGCTCCTTGATGGCTTCATGAAGCCATCTTACTAAGATGGCTCACTACTACTGGGTCACATGACATTGGCTTACAACAGACTATGAGCCAAAACCTTGGCACCCCCTTCCCCCCTGACGGGTTACATAGTGCAGGGGAATATTATCATCACCCTCGCTAAGAAAGCATCCAGAAAGTCGGCAAAACTTTACAAAAAACTGTAAGGTTCATAGAAAATAATAGTTTATCTAGGTAAAAGTACATATAAACAGAATGAGTTACAAGCAAAATGTTGGATTTCTAGATAGAGCTAGTATACATTCGCTGCCGAGTGAGCAGAGGCATACAGTTAAGGACTGGCACCCAGTCAATGCTCCCTGGCCAGGATATGAACCCAGGCTGTACTTGTGAAGTGCCTGGCGACTATTTTTACCACTGCATCATCTTTTTTAATAACTTTTTGATGGCCGCAACTTTTGTCACTGGCTTCTTCTTGGAGCTTGTCTTGGTAATTTCCTGGTTAACGTTGGAGTCGCTGTCATTAGGTTCCTCTGTTTCATCTTGGCCAATCCACCGATTCTGAGTCTTAGAGCTGCTGAGGAAGTCGTCCTCGTCTTCATCACTGTCATCTGTTGGCAATATATGCTAACTGCACTGCATCTTTCACTTACAGCCTCATTACTATTAACTTGCTGTTCTTTGTCTATGACTGCTACTTTACTACTATCTTAAATAAACTTTTTTAATTGTATTATTTGGTGACTTTGTCCTCTGCATGTTATCTTTTTCCTGAGAATGCTGACACAAGTGTAATATACTTTATTTACATTATTCTTATGTATACAGTACTAACAGAACAGTAATGTACATGCAGGACTATAAAAAAAAAATCCCTACACTTAAGGGCAGCAAGAGGCTGAAGCAATCTACTCAATACCCTCTAATTTATGTTCTCTTAATATCATATGCTTCATACTATTTAACATATTCTTGAGTATTATCATATATTTATGGAATAACCAAATGTATAAATTTTACCTGCTCCAAAATAAAGCGTGGTGAGTTTTGGCTTCAATGGTAAGTCAGGTCCCTGCTGCACATGGTCGGTCTCTGCCGCACTTGACATCGCGCCCAATTTCTGCTTCAATCTTTTTTCCAAGAACCTTATTCTAGGCGTGACTGCTAGTCCTAATGACCTATTGAAGTACAATTATTTATTTATATGCATGGAAAGCAATCAGAGTAGTGTTAGCAGTAAACCATAAAATTTTTAAAACCATGTTTCTTAAAATTTTATATTTGAAAAGGACACAAATTTCTTCTAACACATATACTGTGCCAGTACACTATTTAGTTACAGGCACATGACTACAGGAAAAACTACTCATTAGTCTATTGTCTGTCACTTTTCCACAATAAACAATATATAAAGCATAATGGTCACATTCATGGATACGGTCTTCATAAGCATCAAATTGAAGGGACGAGATTATCTCCAACAGCGAGTTTACATTATTATACATGCTCCCTTTTCTCTCTTGTCTGTGTACTGCTCTAGCTTCTACTTAGACATCCATGTAACTCCATGTCAACTAGATTTAATTAACCTCACTTTCCTCTGCAAATGCCCTGACTACTATGGGCATCTTCAATTACTTATTTTGCACTCAGTTTAGTCTAATAACTTATTTTCTGTCCACCTATTCTGTGTGCTTTTCTACCATGTTGGTGGCATACAGTACACTTACAGCTTTTACAGTAAGCGTTCACTTGGTCTGCTTCGTCTCAAGATAAAAGTTTTCACCATTTTACAGATTACAAGATTATTCTCTAACTGATCTTAAAAATACAAAAGTTTAATTACTTAATACTGTTCTGTAATGGTCATGAACCTTGGTATTTCTTGCGTATATATTATAAGCTTTTTAT